TGCAAGTTTCGGAAGGGAATGATTCAGATTCCTCTTGGCACCGCTACTAGAAGATTTGCGTCTGTCAGACAGGTTGCTCACGTCATCAAGCTTAGTTTGAGTCGGTTTGAGTCTGCGCGTCAGGAACGGAAGTGCTCAAAAATCGCTAGAAATGGGCTTCAACTGTCTCAACTGAGTTCCAATGAGATGGCTCTGTCCATTTCTTTTACTGTCTATGGGTCGTAGTCATAGACAGTATAAGGTCGCAGTAGAGGTGACGTATATGCGCTCGGTCGCAGTGGAGGTGACGTATTTCCGCTTTTGAACGGAGCTCCACTCGCCCCGTTGTCTGCAGCCAGCCCCTATTGGATTTTCCAGCTATCCATGTTTTCACTGTTATACAGTAGGGGGCGCTATGACATCTATCTTCTATCTATGTACTATCTTCTAGTACAGAATCTCCGGATCAAAACACAGGAGAAGAAGCTGAAACAAGTGATAGAAGATTGCTCACTCAAATGTAAAAATGACATCTCAGATCATTATTTAATCATGTATGCTTAATTTAGCCAAGGCTGCAAAGCCGACTCTGTGTTATAAATATGGTAGAACTATCACTTCTGCCACTAAAGATTGCTTTATAAATAATCTTCCTGATCAGTTTCATCTCGTCAGCATCCCAGATAGCTTAGAAGAACTCGAAGTTTTCCGCATTTCGTGGAGAGAGAGCACAATTGGCTTTATGCACAGCTGCACTATACTTCCTGAACTTTAGCCAACTCCTTTGTTTCCTGTCTGCCATTATTGGACAAACTGATTAATCCAGGCGTGCCTGGCCTCAGTAACAGTAATCAGGCACACCTGGATTAATCAGTTTGTCCAATAATGGCAGACAGGAAACAAAGGAGCTGGCTAAAGTTCAGGAAGTAGTGAAGCTGTGCATAAAGCCTATTGAAAGGCCTTAAAAACTGCTAGATCTGCTTATTTTTCAACACTCTTAGAAGAAAACAAGCACAACCCTAGGTATTTATTCGAAACCGTATAGCTAAATTAACGAAAAATAAAACTTCAACACCGGACGTTTTCAAACAGCACAGCAGTAATTCTTTACTTACAAGATTGATAATATTAGAGAGAATATTATAACTATGCAACCGTACTACAGTATCGCATCAGGCAGTGCGTTGTAGTCTCCCTGAGGAAAAAAATCCATTCATTCATTGCTATAGGAGAGGAAGAATTGTCTAAACTCGTTAAATCATCTTGATCAACTACATGTTTGTTAGACCCTATACCGACTAAGCTATTGAAAGAGATGCTTCCAGAGGTCATATCCTCTTCTTAATATCATTAATTCATCTTTGTAATTAGGATATGTAGCAAAAACTTTTATGCTATGATTAAACCGCTTGTTAAAAAAACGCAACTTGATCCTCGAATCTACCTTTTCTGTCAAAGATACTAGAAAATGCAGTATCCTCACAACTATGTTCCTTTTTAGAAAGAAATGATATCTGCGAGGATTTCCAGTCAGGATTTAGACCGTACAATAGTACTGAGACGGAAGGCATAGCTGATATAAAAAACTGACTAATCATTTCCTACTACTTAACTCTGAAAAAACAGAGATCCTAAAAACGTCAAAAAACGTGCTCACGTAATAACCTAGAATACTGTCTAACACTTGATGGCTGCTCTGTCAAGTCTTCGTTGTCGGTTAGGAACCTGGGTGTGCTCTTTGATACCAATCTTTCATTTGAAAGTCACGTTTCTAGCATCTGTAAAACTGAATTCTGCCATCTTAAAAATATATCTAAATTACGACATATGCTTTCAATGAAAAATGCGGAACAGTTAGTTCTTGCGTTCATGACCTCAAGGCTAGATTATTGTAATGCTCTATGGGTGGTTGCCCTGCACCCTTAATAAACAAACTACAGCTTGTACAAAACGCAGCAGCTCGAGTTCTCACTAGAACCAGGAAGTATGACCATATTAGCCCGGTTCTGTCAACACTGCATTGGCTGCCTATTAAACATCGTATACATTTTAAAATATTGGTGACTACCTACAAAGCACTAAATGGTTTATCTCCCCAGTACTTGAGCGAGCTCTTAACGCATTATAGTCCTTCACGTCTATTGCGATCTCAAAATTCTGGCCAGCTGATAATACCTAGAATATCAAAATCAACTGCTGGCGGGAGATCATTTTCCTATTTAGCACCTAAACTTTCGAACAGTCTCCCTAACATTGTCCGGGAAGCAGACACACTCTGTCAGTTTAAATCTAGACTAACACATCTCTTTTACCTGGCATTCACATAGAACATTATACATCTCTATTATTCAAATCAGTTAAATGAGTATTAGGCTGCATAGATTAGGTCAGCCGGAACCGGGGACACTTCAACACCCGATGTACTCGTTACACCATAAGAAGAATGGCATCTGCGCTAGTGTTAGTCTCTCCATTTATTCCCGAGGTTTACTGAAGTCCGCCGGATCCGGGCCGGATCCAGATCAGCCTGGACACGACCACAACACAAGGGAAGTGCACCTGAAGTGCTAGCCTCATCAGCCCTGTGAAGGCCTCATGGACACTTCAACAAACTTGTCTCCATACCAGAGTGATGACTCTGACCTCCAACCAGATGGAACTGGATAAATATTGTGAATGTTCTGATCCAATCTGACTTCTGAGCTGTAATGTTGCCTGAATCTTAATCATACACTGTTCGTGCGTTGAGGAGGTCCCAAGGTTTTTTTCTCCATTCTGTCACCTGATGGAGTTTTGGTTCTTTGCCACTGTTGCCTTGTCTTTTGGCTTGCTTAGTTGGGGACATTTAATATTCAACAATATTATTGATATCCCTTACTTCAGGTGGACGATGACGCAATTTTCTTCTAGAAACAAACTTGTTGCATTATTTTCATGTTATCACTGTGAAGCTGTTTTGATACAATCTGTATTGTAAAAAGGGCTATATAAATAAAGGTGACTTGACTTAAAAATAATCAAACCTGTCATAGGTCCCATTGTGCTTTATGACTGGGAAGTCTAGGGGCCTTCTCACCAAACAAAAATCCACTAAATGGGACAAACACCACAGGTACTAGATACTAGTAACAAAAATCCCCAGGTGAAAGATACATCCTACGCATGCACTGGGACGCATCATCAGTGATGTTCCTGGGTCTTCATTGGGTGTTTCGGGTCTTTCAACATCATACACCCTCTCCCAGGTGACCCAGCCAGGGGTGATCAAGCCCCGACCTGTGTCCCAGCAGCGTTTGGCCATGGATCACCCCTTTTTATCCACAGCCATCTTGAAGCTTTTTCTGCAGCCTCTGTCGTAAGTCTGATGGCTGCTCTTCTCTCAACCCCAGCGCAGTGAATGCTCTGTAGAGAGAGCGGCCTGCAAAGCCCCTGCATCCAACCTCCAAAGTGTACCCGCAAGCTCTCCAACCCCTCTCTTGGCACTGTTCAATCAGACCTTTACCTGCCGCTTTTTCTTTTGAATGCCTCTTCCATTCAATCTTCCCAGGCCACAGTCAATTCTATCAAAGCATGCTGTTTCGAGACCTCAGATAGAAGGGGTTGCTTATGGGTTTAAATGCCACCTTGGTTTACTTCAGAAGTATGTCAAAGTTTTTTCATAATATTCTGAAAAATGTTAACATCGTAACTGTAACATGTTCATTAACATATTGGTTACTTCGGATCTATTTAAATTTAGTAGGCCTAAATCTCATGTTGAAAACATTTTATTGTATTTAGTTCACATTTTGAGACAAGTCCATAATATGCCGTAACATACATCTTAACTGTCCCCTTGTTGCTGTCACAATCAATATGGTTTAAAAAAAAATGTATTATGGTAATTTATTATCAGTCACTTATTTTGAGCTGTAGATTCACGTGCAACGTTACATAAATTAAAAAATTGTTATCCTCTATCTGCCAATGTTAGCTCAGGGTGGAACATTTATCTTATCAATGAGAGAAGCTGTAAATCTTCACAAATCTTAATGACTTTCCTCATTCTCAGTATCTATTCATATCTAATCAGACTTGAGATCTGCACTCCTGATCCCCAAACACATGGTGACAAAGCATGGTTAAATATTGGTTGCCTACAACTGTGGAAATAGAATAATTGACACTGAAATTAAAGTTTTTAGTCAGAACTCATTTATACGAATTGCCACTGTAAAAAAAAGAAAAAAAACCTATATGTTTTGTAGTTTACTGGACATTTTGTGTAACAAATAAAAAAGAAATGTGAATTGAATTGTGAATTGAAACTACATCCATGTTAGACCAACAGAATTCCCCCAAATGTTGTCACAGTCAAACACAGCTGTCTGAACAAATTTGAACAATATTGCTGAAATGTTAAGGGTTTGTGAGTTCCCAGCATGCACTGCAGCATGAATAAATTATGTGATTACTGTTATAGGATTGTTATTTGCTCTTTGCTGACATTTTTTAAAGAAAACTTGTTTTGTCATTATTGTTAGTTATTTGTTGTATTGTGATGTTAAGAGCTAATCTTTTGTACATTTATTGATTGTCAAAGGTTTTTGTGTCAAGTGTTTGCACATAGCATATTTCACTTAACATATTATATCTGTATATCCTAATATACAGTATCAATTGTTGAGCTATAAATCTGTAGTTGCCTTTATGTATTTAAATTGCCAAAACAAAGTAGTGTAACTTTTTAAGACAATAGTTAAGAGAACCTAAAAATCTGAATGCATCAAGTTGTGTTGAATTTAATTTATTTTACAGTGTATTCTAAAACAGATTTAGGAACAAAGAATAGTATAAAACTACTCTGCAAAGCCTTTCTAATATCCACTTTTCACAGTCCTCTGATGGACCATCAGTTTTATATAGGACCATCTTTCTTCTTTTCAGTGAAATTTCTTTTGTTATATCATCCTAAAATATGAAATCAGGACTATAGACTTAGTCAATGTTATACCAATAAACTCTTTGATAAGTGAGAGGACAGATCTGTAATAATAAATCCCATCTACCTTGAAACACGCAAACTAACAGGAGGCGTGTCTACGAGATTGAGGAAGATTACAGTCATATACCAGAGCAGGCGTCACTAAACGTTTGAACAGTTTAGTTTCAGAACTGCTCTTTACTCCAGACGGCTCAAAGCAGAGAAGTGGATGATTCTTTCCATCATGGGAATAAAAGATAGAACTTTCTCTTCCTTTGCACAGTTTATGATCCTGGCCCTTCTAGCATGCATGTGTTCAGCAGGTATTTAATAACTCTTGATATTCTGCCACTATTCTTTCAATTTAATGCATAAAGCTTCCTTAGATTATTATCCTGACACTTTATTGATGGTATTTTAGAAATGGGGTGATTTCACTTTTTTCGAGAAGTTAATCTGTCAAGGAGCATATTGAGACAGTTTCTATGCAGTCTTCGAGTTTAAAAAAAAAATCCAAATCATCCAATGCAATTTAGGAAATGCATTTACGGAAATGTATTTGTCACTCCAAAATTGTGCTTCCATGTGAACGAGTCCAGTTTGTCCATGTGTGTCAGTGGCTTATAAGGGTTTGTTTTGTTTCTGCAGCTGAGTCTGGTCCCCTGGATTGTGCTGATTCACCCCCCTCACCTAGCACTCCAGTTTCTGGTAAGGGAATCTACAAGAATCTTATAAATAAACATCTAGGCTTGGTTTCAGTGTATAAATTGTCTTATTATCCTTCTCACAGTCCATTCTCTGCGGCCAGCTGATGTGGCTGTGGTATCTGCACTGGTTTTGTCTGATGTAGAGAGGTATGTCCACATTTATCACAAGTGCATTAAAATATCAGTTAAGCTTCATTGGAACTGAGGCAGATTTGTAAGCTTGAAAAGAGACAGATCAGCACTTTAGTTTAAAGTTGACCCATTTAATACCTACATTTAGATCATTCTCTGAATTTAATAGAACGTTAGCTAAAAATTAAGCACACTGTTTTGTGCTGTCATAGTCCTTCCCACATCTCTATTGTTAAACTGTCTATTTTTTTGTTATTTCATATTTAAAACTATACACTCTTAGGAAAAAAAAGGTTCAGTGGGTTTTCTAGGGTGCTTGACTTGATTTTAAAGAACCCTTTATGCCAAAAACGTTCTATATAAGTAGAAATCCTTAAATTAATACTTTAAAATTTAACATGTTATTTCATTATTTTTAGTTAAAGTACAGTATGTTTACAGGCTGTTTCATTCATAAAATGTAATCAAAATAAAACCAAAATTATAAATTAAAACTAAATCCATAAAATGATCCCATGAAGGAAACCTCTAAAAGGTTTATATGAAGTGCCTGACAGAACCCTTTAAGGTTCTATATAGAACCTTTTCTTCTAAGAGTTTATAACATATTTTTATACAATAAACATCATATCAGAGCAAATTGACAATTCATTCTTTCATTCATTCAGTGCTATTATAATGCCACCTAAAATGCTTAAATTGGGTGTTTTTTTTATGGCAGATCTGATGAAACCAGAGCCCTGAACATGTTATCTGGTAAGGCTTCAGTCTTATAGAAATAAACAAATAATATCTTTACAGAACCTGCATTAAGTGTTGTACTCAAATTGCATTAGAATGTCATTATTGAATTTGGTTACACTTTATTTCAATGGTCCCCTTTAGAATAACTAACTTTGCAGCTACATTCCAACTAACTCTCAGTAGGTTAGGTGTTAGGGGTCTGGGGTGCGTTTCCCAAAAGCATCGTTGGCCAACTATGATCGCAATTTCCATTGAACTCTATTGGTAACGACGGAACTTGCGACCATCGTTGGCTTTGGGAAACGCACCCCTGGTTAGTAGAATAAGTTGATATAGTTGCAAATTTACTTCTAGTCAGTAGAATGTCTGTTGGGGAAGTATCAAAAATAAAGTGTTTTGCAAATATTAAGCAGACAGTCCTTTAATTCTCTAAGAGTTAGTTGATATGTAGTTGCAAATTTACTTTTAATAAGTAGAATGTCTAATGTGAACAATCGTATAAAAAGTTTAATCCTGAATTTTCTCTCTTCTCATCTTTTTTTTTGTTTTTTTGTTACTGAGTAACATATCGATTGCCCTTCACACATTTTTGTGTGATTGTCAGGTTTGATTAAACCAGATCTCTGTAGAAAGGTTTCGGAAAGATTTAGTCTGAGTCCTTGAAATGAAAGTCAAGGCCAGGGGAGAGATACACACAACCATGTATCTGAACAATTACACTACTGATTTTTAGATGTTCATTTTCTGAGATATGATAAATCATCGCTTTTAGCAAAGTATTTCTCTAAAAGTAAAAAACAAAACAAAAATCTTTTAACCTTTTATTACAAGGAACAAACAGGAAGTCTTTCAAACATGTCCCTAATCTCAATCAAATGTGATAATATTGTCTTATCTTAGCAAGCACACTTAAGTACTTTGTTTTGGATTCAGTTGGCGTGATACTATTGGTCTGTTCACTACTGTTTGTGATAGTTAGTGTTAGTGTTTCTGTAAATTTATCTTGAGGAGATGAGGTTTATTTGTATAATTAGTCTAATAATTTGAATAATTTATCAATGTTTGTCATGAAAATGGGCTGGCTAACTGATCAAAGATGGAACGAAAGAACGGAAAACACAGATAACTGATAGTCAAGTCAATAAAGTAGATGCACTGATGCGCATGCTAAGCACAGATGTTTATGTGTGCATGTGAGGTGAGGGTGATATAATGATACATTGCCGGTATCTCAAAGAGAGACAGAAGGCTTCAATAATTAACTTTCAAGATACAAAATAACATCTTTTCACTTTTCTGCCTTAGAAATATTGTTCACCTTTAACCCTGATGTGACAACTGTTCTACCTGACATAAGGTAATGTAGAAAGGAATTAATATTCACTATTCAATGACAGACCCTACATTTTTATGTATGTTTACATATACATGTCTTTGTGTGACAGGAGTTTAAACATTTTGGAGTCTCTCAGCCCCACTCAGGTAAACATCCTCTACCAAACAAACAGTCAAACCTTTACAAAAGTTAGTTCCGGTCCACCAATTTGATCGGCCGCTGATGTGCATTACGTATTTCTGTGTGTGGTTCTGTAACTTACAAGTTGTGTGTTATCTGAAGGTTTTATTCCACTGGAGTTGCTCCATACACTGGGTATAAGTAGCATCAAATGTGATAAGACTTTCCAGTGATACGGACATTGCCATCGTTGATATTTACTTTAGTTCTGTCATGACAACTCTCGAAGAGATTGGCATGATGGATATGGCAAAGTTAATGTATTTGGTCTTGGCGGTATAGATCTGCTACGCTACTGCTGCTGCTGCAGAGCAAGTACTGAGACTTGCCAATACTTTCACAGACATGCTGCTGTGAGCATGTAAGATATTCTGCTGCTGCTGCACATAAATGTAACATACATGAAATAACCACCGCAGCAGATCTGCAGGTGGAGCTGGGGAAGGTGGAGGGTTTCTGAAAGCATGCTGCAGACTTGCAAACACTACCAGAATTTGAATGTTGAGACGCAGCTCATTGGACGCTTAATATGCAACAGCAACCAATCAGCTGCGCTATGTAGATAACAATGTGATCCCTACCAAATCGAGTTGAGGACCTATTGTATCAGCCTGCGCCATCTAGAGTTTCATGCCAGAACTTGGTATTCACTGTTACAAGGATGAGTAGATGCAGGATCTAGTTGCAGCAGCAAAACTTAAATAAACAATAAATAACAAAATAAAATAACAAACACTCAGGAAACAACCAAACTAATATAGACGTAAAAATGGACAAGGGACTAAACTAAACAGTGATGTATACAGAGACTAAATGAGTGAATTGACAAGAGGCAGGTGGACACAATAGATTGCTAAGTTAATAAACAATAAACTAAGGAAGACAGGACATAAATACAGGAACTGGGAACACATAAAACTAAACCAAAACAGAACATAAACCTGACAAGTAAAAGGTATTCACAGCTAGAGTGAGAACAAAAATGGGGATTGACAGACATTGGTTATTTGTTCATACGAAGAGGTCCTCAGTGTCATTCAAAAATACAATAACGCCACATGTGACACTAAAATAATGCAATAAACATTATTTAAACAACATAATTATGAAACATAAAACCCTAATGCACGTAATTAATAACAAAAACAGAAAGACTTATTTAAACAAAATACCATCAAAATGTAAAATGTTCGGAGGTAATTGTGAGAATGTCAGTTTATGTGTTTTCACTGTAGATTATGAGATTATTTACAAAAGCTGTAAAAGCACTTTACAGTTTTTCTCAATTGCTTTGGCTCAATTCTCAAATTAGACCTTTTTTTCTCAAAACAATCAGTTAAGATCTCTGAAGAATTAGTTTCTTGTTCACATCAGCTTTGAATTTCTTATTGATTTAAGTAAATTGCAAAAATAAATGTACTGTATAAATACAAATGTTCATTTTCTGTGCACTACAGTGTTGACTTTTCTCAGTCAATTTTTACCTAATGTCTGAATCTGTATTTACATAAACAAAAAACTGACATTGTTGTACAGTATAGAAAGCAGTTAGAATAAACAAAAAAGTAGAAAAAAATTATGAAATTTGTATATAACAAATATTTCCATGGTGAAAAAGCATCTAAACATTTTGACCAGTGTGGCTCACACAATGACAAAAACACTTGTTATTTTGGTGGCATTGGCCAATTTACTGACACAATAACTAGGTTTTGAAGCATGAATTAAATGTTTTGGGTGAGTTACATTTTGCAGACATGCAATAGAGTTCTGATGTTCAAGCAAACAGTTGTGACAATTGAGCTCACAGTTTAGAGAATGTTAAGGCTGTTTCGAAAAAATGTGCCAAAGCGATTGAGATAAACTGTAAATTAAAATGAGGTAAAATGTCCAATTAGATCTATTATGGCTTTTCACCATAGTAAGGGAACTTGCTGTTAAACAATTTACAGGTTTTTACAATGTTTTACTGTCAAATTTAAACAAAGGACCGTGGGAACTCGTGTTCCTTATATGGGACCATGCATGGGACCCTGTCAACACAGTAATGCCCCCTTATTTAATGCTTGTCAACCCCAAACACTGAGTATAGATATTAAGTCACACCGCACTATCCCAACAAAAATAAGTTATAAAAACGTTTTGCTAACATTTCCATGAAGTTATGCAAATGTTATTTCTGAATGTTCGCTGAACATTTAAAATGTTCAGGTTTTTTAATTTAAAAAAAAAGGTTGTTTCTTGGTTATACGAACATTGCAAACATTATGGGAATGTTACTGTTTGTGATGTATAAATAATGTTTTTGTGCTAACATTTTGAGAACATTATTAAAGACCAGAAAACTTTGAATGAACATTCTATTAAAGTCCCTGTAAAGGCAATTCTAAAAAAAAATTCTAACCGCATTATAAATGTTAGAAATGTATTGCTAAAACATATTACAAAGACTGTGAACTGTGAGGTACTGAATTGTGGAGTTAGACCGTTAAACAGGTTTTCACCATGCACTATTTTCCGGATTTTTTGGGCGGGGCTAAAACGGGGGCTCGATGACGCACTGGAGCCCCTGAGCTCCTGGACACGCCCCTACTCGATGACGCACTGAGGCCACTGAGGCTGGCCCCTCCCCTTTGTGAAGAGCCAACTTTGATGGAGAGCTGAGGGATCACCGCCAACACCCGCCTCTGTAGTGATCATTTTACACGGGATAGTTTTATAAACTTTCGTCGGAGACAACTGGGATTCACTAATAATCCGCTGTTACTGGTGAATGGGGCCGAACCGACTATCTCCCGCCTCGGCCTTCATCTCAAGCAGTATGACCTAATATCACCTAATATCATATCTGCAGGCTGCATTGTAACGTGACGTGACTTTTTATCTTGCGAGTCATAAAATCATTTAATCAACCGATTTGTTTGAAAACAGTGATTGTTTCAAGGACAAAACAACTAACTTACTGTCTTTATGAGTGAGCCATTAATCATTCACTCAACTGAATTTTTCAAATTCATTCGGGATAGAAACACCACTAGTGTGTGTAGTGGTGGTATGGAAATATTTCTTTTGGCGGAACAAATAGACAAAATAACTGTCAATATTGTGTCTTACTTTTTTTTTAAACTGTTGTATAAAAGCAATATCAAAACATTCTTTAAATAAACATGGTAAGGTACATATTCATGTATTCTATTTAAACAATGAGCAATCTGAGTCATTATCAAATGTTTTGTCATTCTCTCTCAGTGGAAGCTGCTCCTTCTGCTTATACCAGTTGATGAGCTCTTTGCGTGTACAGACCAGGTCAGACATTTCCCCACAAATCCTATCAACCTCGATAGCATATCATGGGACATAATGAACAATCAAACTTCAGCTATAATTCTGTATTATTCTGTATTTATGCTTAGGGCTTCAGTGAAAACATTGATGCAACAGTGAATAGAGTGGAGCAAACACTGGACTCTCTTCATCAGAAGGTGAAGATTGAAACAAAAGTTTGAATCAGTTTACAATTAATAGAGTTTGTTTACAATAACAGCTTTCTCTCTTCTCTAGTTGAAACATACACTGGTTCATGTTGTTGTTTGGAGTGGACTGTCAGGTGAATCACTTGACCGGTCAGTATTAGAGAACATTCTTTAAATTCTAATGTTATTCTGTGGTGAACAGTTTTATTTTATAAGGTGCTTATGTTTTTAGAGTTTGTAAGTTCCACTGTGAGGAAGGATATGATGAAAACAGACGCAGGCTGGATACAATAGTCCTTATGGCTTCATTGCAGGTATGCACAATGTGTATACAAAACACACACACACATGTATATGTATGTGACTTTTGCATATCTATACAAAAATATTTTGACATGATCAAACATTATATGTGTGCATTAAACAGGAATCAGTCGGTGCTCTTCTAGAGAAAAGAGTCTGGTTCAGCGATCGGGAGGATTTCAGCGTAATGCTTCAGTCCAGTCCAGTACACATCGATCTGTCAGACGTGAGTCTGTAACACTCAGAGATCATTTTGAACAGGCCACTAGATAGATAGATAGATAGATAGATAGATTTAAATTGGTATAAAACTACAAAAATTGTATTTATATTGGTATTATATTGCACATATATAGCATCAAACATATTTGTAATGCCCAGAACCAGTATTAATTCAATTTATTAATTTATTTAAAGTGCACTTGATATTTTAGTTGAACTTGAGGAAACTGAATAACCAAAAATGACTAAATATAAATCTAACCTTTCTAGTGATTCACTGAGTCAGACTTGGATAGAGACTTGAGAGTATGCTATTTGTATTTGATTCGATTTGCCTTTTTAAAAACCACAGAAATGACTCACGCAGTGCCACTGTAGCAGTTTTGTATGAATAAATTGGCCCATTATTAAGCACAGTTGTTCTTTTTGGCGTACTTTCAGATGAAAGCCTTTACATCTGACTCCTCACGTGACATAAGCATGTTGGCTTTACAACTCTGGACTAATTTGGTAAGTTAATATTAATGCAAGCAACGCATGTGTACACTATTCCCGTAGATGTAGAGGTGAATTCCAGGACACCTTACTTTGAAGTGCTAAATGTCCTAATGTGACTGATATAACAGATTGATAATCAGCTCTCGATGATAAGTATTAAACTGAGACTTATTCAACCTTGAAAACCATCTCGAGCCACTTATCTAATCTTGCCTTTATATGAGGAAGAGCTGGAGCCTTCGTTCTAACCAATCCTAATTATGCTCTTTCCAGCTACAGCCAATGACAGACAAGACTGAGATGGATGGGGGGGGCATAGTCACCATTCCGTGTCCTACTGAGGTGACAGAGATATTTGATTTATGACATCTTCATAAAGCAAATTGCTGTATCAGAGTGTGACTTTATTTGAAAAAAAGAAAGTTCTCTGTACTTTCCAAAGTCTATGTTTTACGCAAGTTTTTGTCCTTCACTTGTGAAAATAGCATTACACAACTGTGTATTTCAGTTCCATCTTATTTGTACATCACTTGTAGAACTGATGTTGTTCAATATATATGTGTGTGTGAGTAAGTGACGTTTATATGTTAAACGTTCATATTTTTTTTTCTAAACAGCCAGAAACATACACATATGCTTTACTAAACCTGTTGTTCTGTCCTCCTAGGAAAAGCCGTTTTTGCGAACACAGAAAAACTCAAACTTGGCAGAGCTCAGAATCTCACAACCAGAGGATCCCTCTCCACTTCTCGACCCAGTGAGTCATTCTCACCATAAGCTCACCTTGTTGCATTGACGTATATGTCTCACTTGTGCTGCATCTGACTTTTCAGGTGATGGGGACTGAGCTCATCTGTGAGGACAGGTCTCCATCTTCCAGCATCCCTACCTCAGGTAAACAGGAATCTAACACTTAGGACATTTTTCTTGGAATTATGGGAGTTTTTTAAGCTCCTTTCTGTCTGTCTGTTCTGTAGTCCATGCCCTACGGCCAGCCGACATCAAAGTGGTGGCAGCGATTGGTGATTCTTTGACGGTGATTATACATATATTCACAAATATACACCATTCAAAAGTTTGGGGTTGGTCAGATTTCTTTTTAATCTTTTTGGAGAAAAAAGGTGTATTATGCTCACCAAAGCTGCATTTATTTGTTCAAAAATGCAGTGAAAACAGTAATATTGTGAAATATTAGGCTATTATGTATATATTTTAAAATGTAGCCTATTTTATTTCTGTGATGGCAAAGGTGAATTTCCAGCATCATTACTCCAGTCTTCAGTGTCACATGATCCTTCAAGACACATTTCTGATTATTTCCAATAGTGAAAACAGTTGTGCTGCTTAACATTTTTGTGGAAAGTTGGAAACATTGAGAATTTTTAGAAAGGTCAATAGAACAGTTTTTATTTGACATGGAAATATTTTATAACATAATAAATGTCACTTAAACGCATCGTTGCTAAGTGAAAGTATTAAAGTTTGCATGAAAAGAAGTTGCGATCGTCTTTTCTTCCCTATGACGCATATCCGATTGAAACGGCTTCTGGAATGAGAAAAATGTAGGGCGGTATCATTTGCTATTGCTGTGATCTAATGTGAGTGACAGAATGTCCAGTGAACACATCATCATCGGAGAAGAGATGGCATTGCTGGAGCGAGGGGAAATTATATTGATGAAAGATTATGAGGGCACATCAATTAAAAAAAAAAAAGATGTGCACGAATAAATAATATATAAGAAATACTGGAATATTCCATAAAAAAAGAATTGTCCATATTGATTTCCTGGTGACTTCAATAAAAAAAAAAAATCTTACTGACCCCAAACTTTTGAACCATAGAGTAAATGCTACTTTTGTACATTGTTTTGTGCAGTTTTGTAATGTCATTTCTTTTACCTAAAAAACAGGCAGCCAATGGGGTGGGTGCTGCACAAAACAACCTCCTGGGTGTGATCACAGAGTATCGCGGCCTGTCATGGTGGTGAGTGTCTATCCTGATCATAATGTAAACCATCAGTTTAGGGTAGACAAATGATGCTGGTTTAGGCTGCGTTTACACTTGGCATTAACATGCGACCTGTATCCGGATGATGTCCACATACACATTGAAAAGACAAAAACGCGTTTCTGATCGGAATGTAATCTGATCACGTGTGCCCTGGACTGGTCCAGAGGTAGTCGAGGACGCATGGATCGTTGGTCGGATCTCAGTTTAATGTAAACGCAATCTAGCCATCATCTCTGCATTCACAGGTCGACTTCATATAAATCCCCGCTAACTCTCTCTCTGAAAGCTGTTGGAAAAAATAATGGACGGACTCAGTTTTGACTAGAAATTAAACGTATTTCAACTTGACAATAATTTAAAACTGGTTATTTATGATAATTATGATATCTGATGTCTTCTTTCATTTCAATTGTGCAACATTATCTGAATCTGCGAGCTCTCCTTTCAATTATGCAATGCAATCAGTTATCTAGATACAGAGACCTAACGTTAGATTTGATGTGAACAAATGTGAACTCGCCGTGTCCTGATTGACTGATGTGATCGCATGTTAGCTAATGCCAAGTGTTTTATCCATGTGATTATTGGGGAAAGAATCTGAATGATCAATGATCTCATGAAGCAGAAGACAGTCATGTTTCATTTTGTTCGCCTCTCTTTTATTCTCAGCATCGGCGGAGATGAGAACCTTACAACTATAACCACCTTACCAAGTATGTGCAAACTCTCATATTACTGTGATGCTCTTGTTATTTTGTAGGCTACTGCCAATTTTTGATTAATCGTTGATTGGAAATGTAATCAACTTTTTGAATTTTTAATTACTTAATAGCTGATCATTAGTTTATAAATAGCTGCTTTTTAATCTCTACCCTTATACTAAATAACTTGAAGTAGTCCAGGGCTGAAAGCTTGAGTTGAGTGTCATGCTTGAGTCCCTCCTTAACAAAAAGCGAGCCAAATATGTTTACCCTTACTATTCTCTTTACCTTTGCCATTTTCAAGGAATCGATAGACAAGTGAATTAAATTTTGAGTGATTATAAATATTAGATAATGTTTGTTTGTTATTTAGATATATTAAGAGTTTTCAACCCTTCACTGACTGGCTATTCCATGGGAAAAGGAGGTGAGGATTCTGCACAAAGTTTTCTGAACCAAGCAGTACCAGGAGCCAAAGCTGAGTGAGTTTCTCATCTTATAAACCAGTTACTGAATAAATGAATGAGTATGAATATATATATATATTAGGGCTGTCAAAATAACGCGTTAATTTCGATTAATTAATCTGAGAAGAAATAACGCGTTAAAAAAAATAACGCAGATTAATCCATTCCGTTTTGACCTTTGCGGAGCCGTTCTAGCCGTAGCCACCATTCGTGTAAAAAGGAGGGAGACAAGAACGCGCTGCTTGGATCATTGTTTGACGGAGTTCGTCAACTCTAAGTACCACATCAATGCAAAGCATCCAGGAGTGTGTGCGTGAGTCGGTGAGTGTGTCTGAGAGAAAGCGCGCTTGTGTGTGTGTTGTAACTTTTCACGCGCTCTCACGTCACACAACCATTTTCTCACGCACAGAAAAATCGCGCACCAAAGAGAGGACACGGAAACAGACAAGACAGACGTTATTATGATATTTAAAAAATCTCAGCTCTCAGATTCTGTCAATTTTATTACGAAAATCAAACAATAAATACCGTTGGCGCTTGTAAATGTGACATGACAGATCCCTATAGCGGCACGTGAACCGATCATCTCTAGCTAATAGTAAATAAACACAAATGAACAATGTTGAAAGATACAGTAGGGCAGCCTAAAACTTACCGAAATGTATATTCCTCGATCAATCAGTGTTTTTCAACCGCGAAAAGAGGTCAATAAAACAGCTGGAGAACAATTATGTCACATAACATTTAGCCTAAGTTACCTCAGGAAAGCCATTTCATGACCAAATGATAGCACGTTATAGTTGGCTATAAAAAAAGAGCTATAGAGAGTGTTCTAAATTTATGTAGCCTACTACTATATTACATATGTATTATATTTTTACTTATATCAAAGTTGTTATTTGTAATAAACACGCATTATATTTAATTTGAGCTATTTTTAACCTTAAATATTACCAGCTGATATGGCTCTCTGTATTTTTACAGCATTGGGTGAGATTTTTTGTTTCTTGAGAAAAATGAATGCCTATCTTGTATATTTATCCAAATGAGTCAATATTGCATCAAATCACAAGAATTAAATTAAATTGAAATCGTGAAATTTGTGTCAAGCAATAATAATAAAAACGTAGCTTACCAGAAATTGTACCATGTAAACATTGTAAGATTGTGTATGCGATTAATTTAGATTAATTAATTACAGAGTATGTAATTAATTAGATAAAAAAATTTAATCGATTGACAGCCCTAATATATATATATACATACATACACATGGCCTATATATATTAGGGCTGTCAATAGATTCAACTTTTTAATCTATTGACATTATTAATGAATCTTTTCGTGAAATTAAGCATACTTCGTTTATCTTGTATTTAGCAAAGAAAACCTTCAAATTGACAGGTGATTTTCACAAAAATGTAGGCTACTTTCTGCAAGTTTTCTTCAAGGTAAATTTAGGTGTCTTTCCAAAAAAGGACTGTAAAGAGGTTAGTAGTTGTGGGAAGGAGGAGGCGGGAACCGGTGAACATTTAACTTTAATTCCAAAATAAACAAACACCAAACAAAAGTAAAAGACAGCTGCCCCTCACGGACGACTGCCGCACACACATAAACAAAACATAATGTAAAATCCAGGCCTGGTCCTCTCTCATTCTTCACTGTCAACGCTCCTCCATTTATGATACCGTATAGCTCAGTTGCACCTCATTGCAGTACTCGAGATCCAGTGGGTGGAGTTGGATCCAGATCTAAGGGGTGGAGATGGGTAGGATTAGGGGTGGGGTTAGGGATCAGGGGGTGGAGATGGGTAGGATTAGGGGTGGGGTTAGGGATCAGGGGGTGGAGATGGGTAGGATTAGGGGTGGGGTTAGGGGTTAGGGATCAGGGAGCGAAGATGGGTAGGTTTAGATGTAAGGTGGGAGGAGTTGGATCCAGATCCCCCTGGATTTCGTGTTCTGCAGTGAGGACCATCTCGTATAGCTCCTCTGTGAGATACGAGGCAGGTGCGGCATTCTCTCACGGCTCTCGGCCCCGTCCTGCTTGCCACAAGGACACTTTCAGACTCCAAAAGGACACCAAATAACCAGGTAATATATGGAGTCCATGTAACTTTAAATAAATTTATGCACACACGGAAAAAAATAACATTACAGAAAAAAACTTTTCCGCATTCATTGTGTGTGTACAATGCAACAGCAAGAGGTTGTTTACATTTTAGACAAGTCCAGTTGCCATACCCAATAAGACCACATGGAGATGCCAAAAAAAGAGCGCACATACAAGGTTTGTTTGTGCATCAATAGTCTGTATTTCAAACAGCATGATGCGTGAGGCCTCGCGCTCTTCAGAAACAATCACAGAAAATGACAAAGCTGGTGTTTTAAAGCGCAACAGACACTGAATAATTCACTGATAACGCAACGTGAATCTCTATTCTCTCTGTCATCTCTGATGTAATAAGCCTGTTTTTTTTTTACATTAGTGCTATTTTGGACTGATTGTTTGAATAAATTCGCTTACTGGATCATTGGACTGAAGAATTTCCTGGAGTTTAGCGGCTTAAAATGATCTGATCGCAAACAGAGAAGCGAAATGGGGTTAAAGTCAAAGGGTAGAAATTTCCGCCTACCTGTGTTACAGGTGCTTGTGCCACACTAGATGCTCAATGTGATAAACTCCCGACTTCTAATATCATCTAACTGTGTGACGTAAATTACGTTAATGACGCAATTTCACCGGCTTCAGTAATTTATTTGCGTTAAATTATTTTAACGCGTTAAGAATTACAAATTAATCGCATGCATTAAAACGTCGACAGCCCTAATATATATTATAATAATATCATTACAATTTAAAACATTATATATATCATTACTGTCACTTTTGATCAATTATGGCATCTTTGCTGAATAAAAAGTATTACATTTTTTTTTTTAATCTTACAGACCCCAAACTTTTGAGTAAAACCCAATTTTGTCATTTTACAGTGATATGGTCAGTCAAGCCCGTGCTGTCATTACAAGAATGAAAGAAGACTCGGTTAGTCATTTGCAAAATCTCACACATTCACACACATTTGCTTTTCTATTGTGGTTGGAAATGTTGTCATAATGAGTTCATGATATGTTCAACCCTGATTTTCATTTATGTTTTTTGAACTATTTTCTATTCTTGTGACAGATATTTAGTCCCCACAATGTAGGCAAAACCTGACCTGCACACACAAGCATGGTGCTAAATCTGAATCTCATTCAGACTAAGTATATTTATGTCTCTTTTCAGGGAATTGATTTCCAGAATGATTGGAAGATTATCACGGTCTTCATTGGAGGAAATGACATGTGCGCCCACTGCTCTGATAGTGTACGCTGATATTAATAGAGACGGTTTTATTTATTATCAGTTTCATTAATAGATCTACTATTAGTGTCTCTACCTCTCTTTATCATTCTCTTTCTCTATCTCTCCTCAGCGATACTATTCTCCTGATAACATTGTGAAGTATATTCGTGAGGCTTTGGACATATTACATAATGAGGTGAGGCATTTTTGGCTTCAAAATGTAAACATGGAAATAATAAGGAAATAAGGATTTTTTTTTTTTAATTAAGAACAAAAATACTGCGGTATTTAAAATGGAGAATAATTGTAAAAATACGTATGTCTTTCAAATCTAAAGTGTCTGAAAAAATAGTTAAACACACACAAAAAGAATTTATTAAAGTGCCCCTATTATGCTATTTTAAAGATTCCTAATGTTGTTTTGGAGTCTCCTACAACAGGTTTACATGCATCAAAGGAAAAAAAAAAACCTTTCATTTTCTCATAATATACATTTTGCACATCACCACATTTTCAATGATTCTCAAACGACTCGTGAGATGAATCGATCTCTCTAAATCCCTCCTTTCCGCGAGCTACTCTGCTCTGATTGGCCAGACGGCTCAGTCTGTTGTGAGTGGTTTACCGCGTACAGAGCGCGTCGAAAACAAAAACGCCCATTGCCATAACAATGTCAGCTGTCCCGAGGCTTCCTACACCGTAAACTAAACACAGTAACTAACAATGACGTCGATTTTACCATATCAATCCGAGGCCGAGCGCGAGTGCGATGATGAAACATTGGAAGAACTATTCATTCAACCCGAACCTCCTTCGCAAGGACAAATCGAGCAGGACGTGATACACTACTCAGTTTGAGGGACATTATGAGATGTTGCAACTGTGATCCTCACCATCAGCATTAAGTGCATGTCCATCAACAAACCGATTATTTTACTTGTACTTATTTATTTACCGAGTATTTTTCTAATTTATTGCTGTGAACATGTGGAAACTGTATTAATAACAGTGCATTAGCCGAGCTCTAGCATGAATGATTGATCGATGTGACATAAATGTTGGTAAAACAAATCTTGCTCCATGCTTAATCTTTCCTCAAAGTAGTGAGAACGACAGACAATCTGCATTAATAGACAGTTTTAGGTAATAGTGCCCCACAACTGATTAGCATTTAAGTATTTCAGTAAGACAGTAATAATGTGAGTTAACCAGTTAGCAGGAGACCTACACAATATAAAACTCAAAACTAAGTATTTTGAACACCATCTTTCAAGAGCAAGCGGTTTGCGAATCCTGCATTTAACTCCGAGATTTGAGAAGCAGTCGTCAGTAAAATAAAGGGAACACAGCAAAAGTTTAGGATTATACTGCTGTGGTATCGTGATAAAGATTAATTTTAACCACTGGTTCTTCACATGCTCGTCCTTGGGCAATGGGCAGTGAAAAAAAAAACTGGCTTTACCTGGCTTCACATTGTAGAGCACAGCTTCTTCTCGACATGATGGACCTAGTATCCACAGGAATCAGCTGCCGGTTTGAGGGGGTTCAACGAAACGGCTTGTTGTGACTCGTTTAAAAAACGATTCATTTCATTGACTCAGAGTCGACTCTTCCTTTTGAAAGACAATAACTTAATATACGGTGCACTTTCAGATTTAAAACTTTGCAGGATGTTTTCATTCACTTAGAGCTATGTTACACACTACATGAAAGGACATTTTCAAAAATCCATAATAGGGGCACTTTAAGATTCTGCACAATTTCTATTAATCAGGTATGCCATGATTATTGGTAGTGACCCGACACAAATCTTAAAATGTAAATCCCAGCTGCCTGTATGAGTTCAATCATGTCTTCTCCAGGTCCCTCGTGCCCTGGTGAACCTAGTAGAGCTCCTGGATATAGTTCCACTGCGCCGTCTCCATCAGGACACCAGTTTAGGCTGCCCTACCTGGATAGTCAAGTGAGTTTTGCCCTACAAACAACTGGTTCTTCTGATTTCCGCTAGACTCAGTTAGAAGACTTAATTTCTGAAAGTTTTTGTACTGTTCATGTTTGTCTTTCATTGTTTTGCTTTGTGTGACATTTTTTAGTATTATGTGTGGCTGTGTTCTGAAACCTAAAGATGAAACTTATGAATTCCACATGTTGCAGGAGTTTAACCAAGCCTATCAGGTACATAACTTATTACATGAAAATGAATTAAATGTTTTATGTAAACATCTGTATATTTATTATGAATTAAATTTTTTATGTAAACATCAAGTATATTCATTTTGTGAAAACGTCAATATATTTATTGTGAATGTGACGTTTGGATTATTTATAATATAAAGCAATTATACAGCTATAAATACTTAGTAATATTATTAATGTTAATGTTAAATTACCTATTAATATTGAATATATGCTGTGTTGTGTTTATTCTCAGCGTGGTATGAGGGAGCTGGTGGAGTCTGGGCGATATGACACACATGATAACTTCACCGTGGTCTTACAGCCATTCTTCAGAAATGTGTTTCTCCCCTTGCTGGAGGTGCTGAACAATCTTATTTGAACAAACCTAAAATCTAACTACCTAATCGTTTACTACACAGGCTATCCTTTCTTGATCCACTTGTTCTCATTCTCTTTCTGCCATTATTTTCATGCTCTTTTAGGATGGGAGACCTGACCGTTCCTATTTCTCTCCGGACTGTTTTCATCTCAGTCAGAAAGCTCACACGCTCATGGCTCGGGCTCTCTGGAACAACTTGGTAAGTATAAGAAATAAAAATAAGACATGCATATTTTTATTTATACAGTTGTATATACACTACATAAAGGAATCAATACTTTTTCTTAATATATTGTCATTTTACAGCATGATAATTCTCAAAATGGTTCCATTCCCTCCCTCTTTGCCCCTTTTACTCAGATGGAGCCTTTAGGTAATAAGACAGATAAGGAGGATTTTACTGCTGGTATCCCTCTTAAATGCCCAGAAAAGGTGAATTTACTTCTACATGTTATAACATATAATAAACTCTATAATTCTGTCACATGGTAACACTGTTTCATAATCTTCTTTAGTCCTCCCCCTATTTGAAGACCTATCATAACAGCAATTACACATACAAAACCCCTCCTCCTACTCCTCCACCCACAACAGTAAGTCACACAAATGTATTATATATGATGTTCATAAAATATAATACTGCCTTAAAGTGATACAAATTTATAATGAAATGATTTCTCCCTATTATTTTAGAATTGGGGAAGTGATTTCTCATGTGTGGATATAGCACCCTCTGACACTGTACCAGCATCTGGTAAGAGAGAGTAGAAATGTCTCTCCTCTTTGGTAACAGAGAAAAAAATATTTTTCACCATCAAATAACTAACTAACTATGGGCAAAGTAGATTAAATGAATATTCTGAGAGGTCTTCCCCTGATGATGTATTTCTATCAGTGTTGTCTTTTGGTTTTTAATCTAAATTTAAATGTATGTACAATTATAAAAGATGTTGTCTATAGAGCTGAAATATTTTGTTAATGAAAAGTAGCTTGAATTTACTAAATATACCATGCTGTAATCTCAAAAAAAAAAGTATTAAGGAGGATAAAATAAAGATTAGTAGGTCTAAATGCAAGTAAAAGCAGAAACCGTAATTATGTGCATAGGTTTATGGATAGAGACAATAAGGCAAGACAGGCTTTCACTGTGTACAGACACCCTGCATTGTTTATTATCTTTCTAAGTCCAAGTACCCTGCAATGTATCACAATTATCTTATCACATCAACCTTATCACATTTCTTTCTCAGTTCACAGGCTGCGTCCAGGTGACATTAAAGTGGTGGCGTCTCTGGGAGATTCACTCACAGTAAGTGTGGGTGTATGTTTGTGTATATTGCTGTGTTTTGTCATGTTGTAAACACCTCTCTCTCTCTCTCTCTCTCTCTCTCTCTCTCTCTCTTTCTCTCTATCTCTCTCTGCATTTGTCAGGCCGGCTTTGGTGCAAAAGCTGAAAACCTTCTGCAGTTGGCAGATGAGGAGCGAGGGGTTTCCTGGAGGTGAGTTTGTGTCAGCCTTTGCTTATGGATTTTTTTTTTGTTATATTCTCTGCATGTTTTCATATAAAGTGTCTATGTTTAATTTGATTGACAGCATTGGTGGGGATGATACTTTAGAAACTGTGACCACATTGCCAAGTGAGTATTTTCTTGTGTAACACTTTGCCATTTTTATTGGTTGTTATTAGCAGTATTGCTTAGTAAAGAGACTCTAATCGTTCTAAACATTATTATCAGATTTTATTCTTGTTTAATAACATAATGATCCCCAGTGCCCTGCGTCATTATTTGTTATCAGACATCCTTAAGAAGTTCAATCCAAGTGTCTTCGGCTTTTCAAAAGGAAAAAGTAAAAGGCCAAATGGCTTCAATATGGCAGTGAGCGGTGCCAAAGCCAAGTGAGGAACACACATACACATATACACACAAACACAATTCACAGTATCGTCTCATCTAATGGATTCTTTCTCTCTGTTCAGTAATATACCAGCACAAGTGAAGGATCTTATCACAGCTTTAAAGGAGAGCATGGTCAGTATGTTTATATAATCTATTAAGTTGTTCTGAACCATTTTGTGGTGAATAAATAAAAAAATACATACAAATGACAATGTTTGTTGTCTTTTGTCATTATATAAATACACTTGCCGTCCAAGTTGCTATTTGAATTTAAATAGGCAAATGCTTAAGAGTCCATGATTGGATCATTATTGCAGTGATTATTATGTTTCTAGCATGTTATATGTTTGGCAACAGTTCTTCTAACCCTAATTGATGGAGTGTGTGTGTAGCTTTTCATTTCTTAAACAACCATTTTTTGAGTCTAGTCATGTTTAGAGTTTGCTTTTGATCTCCTTTTCTGTTCTGTTCATGTCTGTTTCTAGGTTGGTTTTCTTGTTGTTAATTACTAGTATGAAGTAGGAAGACACATCATAGCCATATTCCAGGATGACAATGTCAAGATTCATCAGGCTCAAATTGTGAAAGAATGGTTGGGAGGGAGCATGAAGAATAATTTTTACACATATTGACCCAAAATGTAGGCACCTCTTAATGGAAATGTTTTCATCAAGAGGTGCATCAACTTTTGGTCAAGATCTTGCTTTGACAATGCAAGAGTCAAGCACTTTTTAAAGTCTACTCCAGCACATCCCAAAGAATTTAAGGTCTGGACTCAGAGGTGCCAATTCATGTGTGAAAATGTTTCTTCATCTTCATGCTCCCTCCCAACCCTTCTTTCACAATTTGAGCCTGATGAATCTTGGCTTTGTCATCCTGGAATATATGGCTATGATGTGTCTTCCTTCCTACATGGTTGTTTAAGAAATTAAAAGCTACACACTCCATCAATTAGGATTAGAAGAACTGTTGCCAAACATATAACATGCTAGAAACATAATAATCACAGCAAAAATGATCCAATCATAGACTCTTAAGCATTTGCATATTCGAATCCAAACAGCAACTTTGTTTCGCCCGGGCAGTGTATATTTTGTATGTCCCAACCAGTTGCTGCACAAAGCAAATTCCACCAATTGTTGTGTGACAATAAAGACAATATCCTAATTTATTCAAATAAATGTTTTTATGCCACACTACACTCTTTTTTCAGGAAGTGGACTTTGAGAAGGATTGGAAGCTGGTGACACTGTTTATTGGGGGAAATGACCTTTGCCAGTACTGTCATGACCGGGTGAGTGGATGATTCTTAATAAAGGCTTTCATCTCATCATCATAAATGGTTTCTTCTTATGTCATAGAACCTCAGCAGTGATCTTTAAGCAGCTAAAATACATTCGGATATTAGCTAACAGAGATGTGCCATTGCGTCATTGCCATTGTGTTGTTTTTTAAGACCAGCAAACAAACAATTCAATTTATTTTTCTCTTGTGTTTTTCTCTACCCAGGCTTCTCTGTCCCCTTCTAAGTACATCAGTCACATCAGAGACAGTCTGGACATGCTGTACAATGAGGTGAGAGAGATGCACATACCTGATCACATTCTTTCAATGGGTAAATCTCATGAAAACATGTCTGGCCACTGTAGAAGCTTGTTTCCAACACGGAATAAAAAAATAAAAAGGTAATCGCGACTTTTTATCTCGCAATTCGGATCTTATAACTCATAATTATAAGTTTATATCTCACAACTCAGGATATACAAGTCAGAATATACGAGATATATGCAATTTTTCCTCCGCAATTGCGTGTTTATATCTCACAAAATACTTTATTTCTTGTGATTCTAAGTCAATATCTCACAATTCTGAATTTATATCTACACTAGGGAAAAAAGTTAGAATAGTGAGATAAAAAGTTGCATTCTTATTAGTTCGAAAATAAGGCTTTTTGCACAGTGACATTATTTTCATGACAATTACACACATGTACAATATAATTAACACATTTAAAATGATGTTTTGTGTGTGTCTGTGTAGGTTCCCAGAGTGCTAGTAAATTTTGTGGAAATCTTCGAGGTCAATGATCTGCGTATAGTAAAGAGGGACACACTGGGCTGCAGCCTCCTGCAAAAGTAAATCAATTAATCAATGAAATATTAAACATTCATCTGAAAACCTGTGTAAATTTCATGTTCTTATGTACACTAACAGCATTTTCGTGACTGTGTGTGTGACAGGAACTTGTGTCCATGTTTTCTGAATCCCCGTGAGAACTCTCCAGAAATGAATGAAATGAAGAAGGTCAACAAAGATCTGCAGGTCTGTAGCCAATCAAGTTGTCAGTTCATGTATAACTGATCAGCTGAGTGGGCTTTGGTTTATCTTGACCTTCAATAATAAAAGTGTTGTTTTCTGTGCCAGATGGAGACTGAAAGGCTGGTGTATGGGGGACGGTATGACGGAAGACAGGACTTTACGGTGGTGCTACAGCCCTTCTTCGAGAACTCTGCTGTTCCGATGATCGAGGTTGACTTCCTTAAAACATCTCTAACAGAGCTCATGTTTCATGAGATCACATTAACACATTTAGACATGTTTAAATATGTTAATAGCTATCAAACCTTAAGTCTCAGTATCAGTGCCAATGTTAACAGATGAAATGTCTCTCTGCTTTAGGATGGCACACCAGACCTGACTTTCTTCTCTGTGGACTGTTTTCATTTCTCTGAGCGTGGACATGCAGAGATGGCTATTTCGCTCTGGAACAACATGGTAAATACACTTGCACACCCTTTATGATAATCTCACAGAAGCTTTCCTGCATTTAACAGCACTTCTCCTGTATTGTGGTTTTAAGCTGGAGCCTATGGGGAGTAAACAAAATTACAATAATTTCACATATGACCGCAGTAAGATTCACTGTCCCACAAAGGTGAGTAAATAACCAATGGAAACCAATGGAGTAAATTTAACCAATATATGATCAAATCTTTCAAATAATGATTTTCCTTCGTATCTTCTCCAGGAGCATCCCTTCATTTTTACACAAATAAACAGTGGCTCTGACGTCCCTACAACTGCCGTTCCCACCACAGTTGCCCCGGGCACCCCTCTCCCCGCAGATTGCCCCAACGATTCTGTGCCAGCCTGGGCAGCTGCTATTCTGGCTGTAGGAGGCTTGATTATTGGTTGGGGCGTAACCTGGATGATCTTCTACTACAGAGAACGAAGGAACAGAAAGAGAAACCAGACTAACGAAATGAACGGAACTAAGTTCTGATAACTTTTTTTTTAAAATTGCATATATAAAGTTAATTATTTTACTACAGACTAAACCCATATTTTTGACCTCAAACCCTCACAAATTCACATACATAATGTTTGTTTTTGAAACAGTGTTCAGATGTCAGTAAATTAATTTATTGCTGTAAATTATTTATACAACAAATAATTTTGATACTTGTATAAACAAAAGTACATCAGTCATTATATTTTTATTTGAAAGTAATTAAATGTTTAAATTTATTTTATTAATGTTGTTTGATTGTGTTATGTATATTATAAAATGTTTACAGGGTTTTGTTTTTGACCCTGAAGTGTGTGCCCATGGGCATTAAAATATTTTTTTGTTAAACCAAGCCTGTATCTGACTATATCAATACACACGTGTAATTTGTTTAACTGAATATTTGTAGGCCTATTTCTATTATTTTTGCCACTATTATTGTTACTGAAAAATAAGAAGAATTACAACTTCGAATATATTTTCTTTTTTTTTAGTGTTTTGTTAATCTTTTTGAAATCTTCTGTTCTCTTAACTTTTGTGTTTCGTTCCTTTTCTTTTCTGTTCAAGCTTGTATGATATTAAATCAGTATCGAGTCAGTTCATGTTAAGTGACTTTCAGCTGAGTCTTTCAGTTTTTCACCAATAGATGGCAGCTTCGCCAGTGGCAGTAGCGCAACGGAGCCTAAACGAAAAGCTACGATAAATATGACTGAAATAATATAATAAAGCAAACAAAATCATTGTTAAATTTATGATCATTTTGATACCCAGGAATGGGAAGCCAATTGCTTGAAAACATGTAATGACTGCATTTTGTTTTTAATGAATTAATTTTAAGAATTAAATTCCGTTTTAATCACGTTGATATGGCTAAAGAAACGCACTCTTGTGCGAATCAAGCTCAATAAATTGATTACAAAATATAAGTAAATAAATAAATGCCAAGTGTTATCCTACTCTGATAAAAATCCACCTGGAAGGGAAACCAAATACACAAATAGCAAGACGGTGAACAATAGAAAATACCATTAACAATTAAATTGCTTTCAACAGGTCAAAAGTTTGCCTTCAAACGATTAAATATTCATGAAAAGGTCATTAATATTGACGTAACTGCTTGTAACCAAGTGGATGACGTCATTGTGACCACCACCTAGCGGCCGTTACTGGAAGCTCTGCATGCAGAACTCGGCACTGAAGATGGCGGAGGGGGAATTAAACGTCGACAGTCTCATTTCTCGTCTTCTTGAAGGTAAGATTTTTGAAAGTGAATGCATTTTAACGTTTACACAAACATACCCGGTAATTATGTATGTGTCGTAATCTGTTTTTCTGTTGGTGAATAGGGAATTGTGTGCGTAAAGAGAGCGTAGCTTCGCGTCTCTGCGCCCTGTTTACAAACACGGCTGTGGCCCCGGGGTTTGGTCAGCCTTTTTACCAGTCCTGGGAGTTTTAGATTAGATCTAACCTCGCCTTTATCTAGCAAAGCAGGAACGAGACGTGAGGGCCTGCAGTTTATACATCAGTTGTTCAAAGAAACCGAGTAAATGAGAGAGAGGGCAGGACGATGCAGTGTCCGCTGCGTCGTTGACTTCAGGCGAATTTAACCGACGTAATTCTGATTCTCCATTCGACTCAACTCACACTATATTTAGTAGCCTATAGGCCTACAACGTTACCGTGTACTTCTCCTAGCCTACTCTTAATTAGTGTTATAAATGTTTTTTCTAAAACCCTATTTTTAACGTCACTGTTTTATAGTAATATATTACACTGAATCGTATTAATAATGGTATTTTCCATGTAACGTTACTATGTATGTACGTCGTTACGCTATTCTCTTAGTAACATCGCACTGATTTTTCTCTCAGTAACGTTAAATTCTGTTCTTATTTTTATATTGCATTTTCCTCAGAGGACTACAATGAATCCTCTTCATAATCAAACAATAAATATTCTCTTCATAACATTGCACTTGTATTCTTTTAATAAGGTTACACTGCATTCCAATACAAAGTAATTTCACTAAGGGAATGCAGTGTAACATTATTAACAGAATACAAGTGCAATGTTATGCTATGAAGAGAATATTTATTGTTTGATTATGAAGAGGATTTATTGTAGTCCTCTGAGGAAATAACTAAACCCTCTTCATAACGAAACACTATTCTTTTCATAAAGTTACACTGTATACTATTAGTAATGTTTCACTTTATTCCAGCTCGTCTCATCTGAATGAGCAGCTGGAGCAGTGCCCCACCAAAATATATCAACTGAATCAATAATAAATCGTAAATATTTTCAGCATTATGCAACAAATATTTTTCTGTTTTTCTAGACTATTTTAAGTCGTTAAAGGGTTAGTTCACCCAAAAATTCAGCCGTTCATTTACTCACCCTCATGTCATTCCAAACCCGTAAGATCTTTGTTCATCTTCAGAACACAAATTAAGATATTTTTAATGGAATCTGAGTGATTTCTGTCCCTCCATTGACAGCTACGCAACTAAAATGTTTACGCTTCAAAAGTTCATAAAGAGATCGTAAAACTAATTCAGTGGTTGAGTCCACATTTTCTGACAAGACACGCTCACTTTATACGCTAAACAGATTGAATTTAGGCTTTTATTCACATATAAACATTCATCAGATTTACAATCTCTTTATAGACTTTTTTAGGCATCAAAGTGGCAGTTGCGTAGCTGACACAGGGACATAATTCACTCAGATTTCATTAAAATATCTACATATGTGTTCTAATGATGAACGAAAGTCTTACTGGTTCGGAACAACATGAAGGTGAGTAACTGATGACAGAGTTCTCATTTTTAGGTGAACTATCCCTTTAAGTGAGCAGGATATTAAAATTTAACGCATGGCTTTGCCAGGCAGGTATCATGATACTAAGCAAGCAGACAGAAAGTGCCTTAGCCCTGCCCAGCTCTACAGCGCCTCATTATTTTCTAATGTAAATCAGTGGTGGAAAAATGGAACTGCAGCACAGTCTAATTGAGAGTAATTGGGGCAGATTTGAGACAGCCCAGCTTCCTTTTTACAATATCTTCGTAAACCTCGGTCCAGACCAAGACGATATCAGTCCGCTTCAGCTATGTGTATTTTAGTCTGCATCAGGTCAGTAACTAGTGGCATGTCTGTTCTTCCTTAACAATGCTTATGTGGAGTATCATATCAAATTAATGAAAGTATAAATATATGGCTGCATCCGAAATCGCGTACTCTCTTGAGTAGGTATTTTGAATAAGTAATTACTTCACGACCGCTAAAAAGTAAGTTCTATAATCTATTTAGTATCAATGTGTGCAGTAGTAATGTAATCTGGATGTGCTAAATTTGCCATGGTGTCATTGTCATGTGACCTACCAGCATCAGTTACATCGCTTCACTGCCATTCACAAATCCTCTCCTCTGGCCTCATGGGATAGTAAAGTGTCAATTTTATGCACTCTTCAGAATCTCGCCGGTAGTAGGTCATCCTGGTACTTTTTGCCTACTCTTTTATGAGTACTGTGAATTCGGACATACTACTTTTGTCACATACAGTTTTTTGCCTACTATATGGTAGGGTAGGGAAGTATGCGATTTCAGATGCAGCCAAAGTGTGTGCTGTGCGTACTTATAGCAGTACTTAGTCCATCATTAGAGCGTCACCATCAGGCTGAATTATGCAAGGACACTAGACCTCTGCCAAAAGTGTGTCTGCATGTGTTCAGCAATTAGAAAATAAAGCTTACAAACTGTTTATCCTAAACTAGCGCTAAGACCCAGAATTTGCCCCACCTACATTTACAGTCAGGAGCCTGTAAAGCATTCCCTTTATTACTTTGTATTCTCCTTAGTTACATTGAATACTCATCATAATGGCAATGAACACTAGCCTATATATTCTCTCCATAACATTACACTGTATTCTCTTGGGAATGTTTCACTGTATTTGCTCTTACACATTAACTTTACTGTGTAACTTAACTTAAATATAAAGATTAACTTTTTTTCTCAGTATCAAGTGAATAAGTTTTAAATGGAATGCTAAAGATTTGTTGAAGATACATTTTAGCATCTTCCGAATCTTAAAATACATTCCTTTCATAGTGTTACACTGGATTATTATCAGAACATTACATTGAACTGATCATTCATAATCTTCAAAATATTTTATTACAATCTTCTGAAATCTGGTTTATGGCTGCTTTGTTTGCTCTGTAATTGTTCCTCTACTGTTGACTGGATTGTTGTCTTTTAGTGTGTGTCATGGCTTTTACTTTTCTGCCTTTATAGATGCTGGAACCATTTATTATCCTGTATAGTAGATATTTGAGAGATTTGTGAGTAGTAGTAGAAAGACCAATGTTTCTGTCTCAGGGAATTCGGTAGGATCTACCATGGGGTATTTCTGCTCATCTCAGTGACTTTTGTTGCTACACAAACTTCTGCTGTTCAGTTACTTTTGATAAAAGAAAGCGCCATGGATTATTGCACCACCCTGATAACCGATATGGCTCGTGCCTGTCCATCTGTCCCAACAGCCTCCTGCTGACCCTCACTCAGCAATGCCATCTGTGATTCTCTGTGACCCTAGCGTCCCACTTCTCGGTTCCTCACACTTCGATTTTCATGGTCTCACAAACACATCTCTGTATGTTTCTCTCATGTTCCATCTGTGTCTCTCGATCACACTCCTCGATCTGTGAAGATCAAGCTGTCTGCTGACATGCCCACGGTGGTCGGAGAGGACCGTCTAATGGCTGCCCATCAGGACTTGGATAATCTTGTGAATTGCTGTAAAATGCTGTAGTGGGAAAGTGAATCAGTAATATGACCCTAACACGATGAACAAGGAGTCAGAGCGAGGAATTGGTTCCTAGAATTAATTCCTTACAAATTGTAGTCGATTGCCACTTGGAACAAGTTGTTTCTAGCCAGTTCCTAATCTAGCTCAGACTGGTCTGGACTGTGGCTTGTCAAACACACACACACATGCACACAATCAGATTTTCCTTATGTTTAGTCATGCTGCAATAACAGGGACATTTCATCAGCTCATAGACTTTTACACACTTCAATCTGTATAAATGGCACCATGCTTGCAATCTCATAAAGTGCTATTATATGACCATAATCATGGCTTTAAAGACCCACTCCGATGAAAATAATGTTTTTCTAGGTGTTAACATGTTCTTGTGGCATTTTTCTTATGTTAGAGGACATATCTTGAGAAAAATAAGCTCAAAGTTGTATTTCTGAGTATTTCTACATTCAAATGGCTGTGAATCAGTAGCAGACGCTAAAATGCCGTTTAAAATAGACTGGAGTTGTGACGTAGTAACTCCACTGGGCGGGGCCACAAGCTTGTTAAAATTAATCGAAAGTGCCCCTCTCAAACAAATATCAATGATAATATTGTTTTCAATAAAACAAAATGCATTTGATTATAATTAACATGACAATGTGACAAAATTCACGTTTACTTGTATGTTTCTGTCGGTTTGAGCTGTCGTTGCCATGACTCGTTGCTATGGGTTGCGTCACTTGCTGACTTGCATCGGACTCGACTGAAGGGGTCAGTCTCCGTTTTCGAGGCCGAGGGTCAGTAATGTGGACGGCAGGAGCGCATAATCGTTGCAAAAGTTATGCGTTTTAAAACGAAAACGCACTGTACGGCTGGATAGCTCCAATATTGCTCTCAATTTTTGTTGCACCGGTAATGACAGGTTGGGGGTGTAAGCTAGCGGGAGAGACAGAGCTCTCAGCAACGGGGAGGGGGAGGGTCGTCTCCGTGCCAACGGCTCCGCCCACAACGCAGAGGCGAATTGCTAATGAGCTACTGCCGCTCTGCTGAAGCGAAGTCCCAGAAAACGGCACAGGTTTTGTGAGTTTGGCTAAAAATGGCATAATCATAATTTAAAGAGCATATTGCAGGTAAAAAAAAAATCTAAATTAATATATAACCTTGTATGAAAATACCATATGAAAAGGTAATGCAGGATTTAAAATGTTTTAAAACGACATAAGGGCACTAATTTAGTAGATAAAGTGAGCGTTTCTTGGACTGCTCGTAAAAACGGCTTTTTTTTCAACATCGCGTCATTTTACGTCACGCTAGGGAGCCTCAGCCTCGCCTCAGTGCAGAGCAGGCTGGCATTCAGTGAGAGCGGCCGTGAGTCAGTGTGTTTTCGGTAGTTTTTGTATTTCAATCTTTCCTGTTGTTTGAATCGACCGCTCTCCCGCCCGTTACGTCACGCCCACCACACCCATTTTCAGACGCGGAAGTAAAATTTTCTCACAAAAACGACTCCAGAAGCTTATGTAGCGTATTTATAAGAATATTTTAAAGAAAATCTAGTTTCTACATTATTTTTCTATACATTGACTCGTTGGGTCCTCTAACCTGCAATATGCCCTTTAAAGACCACTGGGAATGTTTACAAATAGCTCAAAATATGATCGGAGTGGGACTTTAAGAAAAGAGCACAATGTTTCCTTCTCGGTGTCATATACTGTCTTTGGGCTATTGTACTTTTTCTCCCCATACACACTTTTCTAATCTGTCATTCTTCCCGTCTCAGAGTGAATTATTATAGCTAGTAAGTTCTCACTTATAGTTTCTCTCCATCAAATGAAGTTCTTGGACAAACCGCTCTGCAAAATGGTTGTTTAACAGTAAGACAGTCTCGACTGTCAAGGCGGGAACATTCCTGCTGAATTCCAGACACTCTCAAGATTCCCACTCACATAAACAGCAACATTCACTGAAATTATGTGAGCAGGACATGGACATATGAAAATGTTTATTTATTATGATATGTACACTACTGTTTCGTACGTTCGGTAAGATTTGTAAATTGTTTTTGAAAGTTTATTTTGCTCACTAGTGCTAATTGTACACTAAAGTTGTCAAACATATCTATAGTTAAATAACTGTTTTCTATTTTAATATATTTTAAAATGTAATTTATTCCTGTGATAGCAAAGCTTTTCAGCATCCATTACTCCAGTCTTCAGTGTCACATGATCCTTCAGAAATCATTCTAATATGCTGATTTGGTGTTCAAGAAAGATATTATTATTATTAGTTTTGAAAAAAAAAATGGTACCGCTTAATACGTTTGTGGAATGTTTAAAAGAAGTAGTCAAATACCAATTTAATGTATCCTGGCTGAATAAAATTATTCATTTCTTAATGATCCCAAAATTTTGTTTAAATCATAGTAATGTAAATCATAAAATATTAAAATAAAAGTATCAATTAAAGATTAGTTGAATCAAGTTTTTTTTTTTTTTTGTATTTGCCACCATTAGACTTTGATTCGATAAAGGCATCAGGTGTCATTGTCAGCCTGACATCTTGCACAGCAAGGCTGAGTGCTAAATCTCAGTGTGTGTTAGAATGCTGTAGTGTCATGTGAACACCCTATGAGGCCGTATTACTGTCAATGTATTCATGTAATTTATTGTATAATTTGGGGGGGGTGGTGGGTCTTGGGGGGAACATGCTGTGAATGATGTCCTGTTGAGTTTGGTCTTTATTTATATTTATCTTTATTTTATTTTTTACATATGTTATTGTGTATTGTTATGTTTTGAGCATGTGTGGCTCTGGTTGTTATTTTCAAAAAGTGATTGAAAGGACCCCCTTGAAAATGAGATGGTACATCTCAAGGGGCTATCCAAAATAAAAGAATAAAGAATAAATCGCCTCCTATACCCTCATCTACTATTCCCTACATTTAGTTCACTTGAGGGAGTGAATTTGGACTCAGTGTGTCGGAAGGGCTGCTGCTTTTGAATCGTTTGTGCTTGCTGTTTAATAATTATTTGAAGTATCAAACTGTTAGCTCCAATAGAAAGATAACAAATATTTATCTTGAACTCTGTCATGGAAACTATGTATAAACCTTAATTAAACGCATTTATACCTGGATGTTTTTACACTGTAGCTGGAGGATTCAGCTGCGGGCGCCATCCTCTGGTCAGACGCGCGAATCTCACAATGGATTACACAGTGCATTTTGGGTATTCTCTAGCCGTTGAGTGTACATCGGTTGGACACTCGTTTTTGCGGTGCATTGTGGGATTGAATGTGTGCACACGATCAAGTTCACTATGGTTTTGGACACCACTACAAATCGCTGTCCCTTCAAGTAGACCCCTATTTAGGGGTATAGGGGGTGGTTTCGAGCACAGCCCAAGAATTTTTTTACTGTTGACAAAGTCCACTTTGCAGCCTGTTGTGGCAAACTTAGATGGGAAGAGACCTGTCTGACAAATATGTGAAGTTACTAACCATGGTTTTTAAATGTTTATAGTGCTTATCTGAAAAAGTTACTACCATAAACCGGTGTGAATTTTTTTTCAAACTTATTTTAATAAGTACTGATTTTTTCCCCAGTCATAACACAGAAAACAAACCAAAATATATAGGCCTAGTTCTTCTTATAGATATCTAGTTGCATCCCCTGAGCAAAACTCTGAAATCTGAATATCTTCCAAAGATTTGATGTTGCGCTCCAAAAGTTGGCCAATCCAGTGGCTAGTTCTTCCTCAGAAGCGCTCATGCAGCACTTTATAAATATGCCTTTGTTTCTAAGCACAATTTTTATTTTATTTTAAATCAGAGACAATCAGATTAATCAGTTTGCCAGATTTAGAGTGTCTATTTATGTGTGCAATATGCTTCAGTGAATGACTGTATGGTATGTGGGCCAATTTGTGATGAGTGATTTGAAAATCACACTTTGACCCAGTTATTGAGGCCACAGTAAAGTTGTCACACTTAAGGATTAGCAAAAGATGTTAACCAAATGTTAACTAATGTTGATGTCAACTGTTCCAGTGCGAGGATGTCGTCCAGGGAAGATCGTTCAGATGACGGAAGCAGAAGTTCGAGGACTCTGCATTAAATCTCGAGAGATCTTCCTCAGTCAGCCCATCCTGCTGGAGTTGGAGGCTCCACTTAAAATCTGTGGTAGGTTAGATACTCTCCTTCTCCAGAGCGGAGAACATTTCTGCTGTTTTAATTACATTCCTTCCACTCTATCTCTCAAGGTTTTTAAAATATGTGTGTAAGTAGAGCAGGATATAAATATGAATGTAATGAGAATAGGTTTGAGGTCATTTCTCTTCTCTCTGTGGCACACCTGAGACCCCTGTGTGTGTGTGTGTGTGTGTGTGTGTGTGTGTGTGTGGTGTGTGTGTGTGTGTGTGTGTCATTAACCTGAATTTGGGTGATAAGATCTTTAGGCCTTTTCTTTTCTTTAAGCCTAATTTAACTAAGTCCAAAAAATGTATGTGATGTCAATCACATACATAATCTCTCTCCTTCTCTCTCTTTGTCTCTCTGTCTCTCTCTTTGTCTCTAGGTGACATCCATGGGCAGTACACAGATCTGTTGAGGTTGTTTGAATATGGCGGTTTTCCACCAGAGGCAAACTATCTCTTCCTGGGTGATTATGTGGACCGAGGGAAACAGTCTTTGGAGACCATCTGCCTCCTACTGGCCTATAAGATCAAATACCCTGAGAATTTCTTCCTCCTGAGGGGAAATCACGAGTGCGCCTCCATCAACCGTATCTATGGCTTCTACGATGAGTGTGAGCATCTGAGCACATATACATGCATATATCAGCCCCTCCACAAAAACGTGATTATGCGATCACATGAATTAGTGCATTATCAGCCAAAGTCCGCATATTTATGCGGGGGGTGCATTTTTTCAAATACGCCGCACTTTCACCGCATAAATTGCTGATTTCCGTGCAAAATATGCGGGGCTTGCATGATTTCATAATCCTCGCATTTTCATTGCAAAAAAGTCACATATATCTTAGCAGAAAGTTTAAAAATGTTTCGTTTGCTTCACACAAAAGCAGCCATTTCCCCCTGTTGCCATGGGAACGTTATGAAGTGACGTAATTACGCGACGTGAACATCATCGAAAAGCTGTAAAACAGGAGCACACTTTTTATTTATTCATTTTTTCAGAAGTTGTAGCATATTCCTTTTGTAAAGCTACAGAAATTGTTGGACTCATCAATGTTTTGTAAGTTTTATGTTTTTATTAAGGTCTGAAATAAAACAAGATGAGAACTTAAATATTCCCAGCACTTTCTGTGATGTAGTATGCTTGCTTATCATAGGAAGTAATAAGAAATTACTCTTTACATTAAGGTAGTAGCTTAGTGAGAGCAGGGTGTTGGGGGAATCACTTTTTTTTCTCTTTTTCATCAAACCGCAGTTTTTGCAAGTTCCTGCAATTTCATTGCATAAAATTGCATAAATATCCTGCACATTCCATCGCATTTTTAAAGAAAACGGGCCGCATAAGCAAGGATTTTTGCCCGCAACAATCACAAAAAAACTCTTTTTCTGGAAGAAATGATATTTAAACACATCAAATATTAACACACACCCACACCAGACAATCTGAAATCTTATTATTGATTTTCTCACCCACTGAACAAACTTTCAGGTCAAGCATAATGCTGTATTGTTATGAATGTGTACATTTGTCTGTTGCAGGCAAGCGCAGGTTCAACATAAAACTCTGGAAGACGTTCACAGACTGCTTCAACTGCCTCCCAATCGCTGCCATCATAGATGAAAAGATTTTCTGTTGCCATGGAGGTGAGAATGAGTGAACAAATGATGGATAGGTCTATAGAAGTGACTCTTGGCCTGATAAAATGGGGCAACTGAGTCTAAAAATATGAATGCGTGCTCTTTGTGACACTTTTTCTGTCTGACTTTTTGTCTCTTATCTGTCCATCTTCTAGGTCTCTCTCCTGATCTGCAGTCAATGGAACAGATACGTCGGATTATGCGACCAACTGACGTCCCAGATACAGGTGTGTACGTGCGTGTGACACAAAAATTACTTGTTTTAGACTGATAAATTACTAATGTCTCAGTTCCATCTCCTTTTAAACATTTTAATTAATTGTTAGTAAATTTTGTGATGTATTCAGCATTTTTTACCAATAAATCATATTTTATTTTACAATTATATTTTCCATGGTGTTGTTTTAGATTTTTTATTAGCTTTTATTTTCACATATTCAATTTGTTTCATTTTTAGTAATATATATATATATATGTATGTATGTGTGTGTGTGTATAGTGTCAAGTCAAGATTTAGTTTAAGTTTTTCATCAGTATTTATATTTTATTTTACATTTATTTAAATTAACAAAAATGTTTTTAATAGTTTTAGTTAATGATAATAACCCTGATATGCCATCAGCCACCCTGCTCAATATGTTGGTACTTGCATTGGCCATTAAAAAACATTTTATTACATTTACATTTAAAGCTGCAGTCCATAGCTTTTTTTGGGTTAAAAATGATCCAAAATACATATTTGAGAAAATACATAACCAGCCAGTGTTCAAAACTCTCTGCTTGCCTTAGCTCGATTCAATGTGGTAAACTTGTAATAATGTGTTTAATTCCAGTGGTACTGGTGGATTTCCGCGGGAGATTCGACCATGTCTTTTCGTCATTACGTCACATCTGTCCACATAAAGGAGTCTCGGCTAGTATAAGCTATATTGCGTGTGAGGATGTTGGAGGTGGAGATTTATAGCCTTTTCTCACACCACTTGATATAATTAAACTTATCAATTTGATGGCGGATCCAGAAAGGTTCAAAAGACAATCACCAGTGACAACAGATTCACCCGCTGTAAAATGCAAAAGACTTCGTTCGGACTTCGGAGTGGCTACAGAAAAAAAGAGACTGCAACCGGACCCATGCGAAAACAAGGATAGATATCGGAAGGACATAACATGTAGTCACGCAATGCTGACGTTGTTAACTTTAACAATTTTAGAACAAAGTATAATTTGCACGGTTTTGCGTGATATGATAACTTAAAAGCGATTGTTAGATTTAATCAGCGCAATTTACTGCAATGTCAGAACCAGAACAAAGGTGGATGTTTCTTACTTGTTCAGATGACATTTTCCGGTGAAAATTATTATGTTGGTCATACTTCCAAAAAGACTAATCTGTGATTCTTAATGCCAGTATCCACACCGGCGCGGTGACTGACAGCCTCACAGTCTCCTCAAATATTGTGTTACTCCGCGCTGTGCCGTGTCGAGGGTGTCGAAGTACAACTCGCGTAAAGTTGATAATTCCGCGAATGACTGCAATTGCAGATTTCGAACAGAGATGGCGACAAAGAGGAAAAACGCCGGACTGCAGCTTTAATATTTGTTGAGCACTAATAAAAACATTACTTGAACAACCAACAGATTTTGCTGACAAAATCAACTTTATTATAACTTAATATGATGGGATGAAATATTATAAGATACATATTCTCTGTCTCTTGGTCTTGCAGGGTTGCTGTGTGATTTGCTGTGGTCGGACCCAGATAAGGACGTTCAGGGATGGGGGGAGAACGATCGTGGCGTTTCATTCACTTTCGGTGCCGACGTAGTCAGCAAGTTCCTGAACCGCCACGATCTGGACCTAATCTGCAGGGCACATCAGGTACCAATTAATTCCAACCAATCAGTATCCACTATCCATGTGGTAACTTTGAATAATTGTGGTTGTGGTGGGTTATGACTTCTATATGTAGGTTGTGTTTTTAGTTAGTGCAATGAGTGTGTCGTGTTTTGCAGGTTGTTGAAGATGGTTATGAGTTCTTTGCAAAGCGTCAGCTGGTCACTCTGTTCTCAGCGCCAAACTACTGCGGGGAGTTTGACAATGCTGGTGGAATGATGAGTGTGGATGAGTCACTCATGTGCTCTTTTCAGGTGTGTCATCATCCACACACACATTTTAAAAAACACAGTTTAGTATGTCATTTGGTTTACGAGAACACAGGAAGTGTCCTTTGTTACCATTGTTATGTTGTAATAATGTCATTATACACATTTGTGTCCTCATAAACCATATATACGAGAACACACAATGCACTCACACACTCTTTTCTCTCTCAGATCCTGAAGCCTTCAGAAAAGAAGGCAAAGTATCAGTACGGTGGGGTCAACTCAGGGCGACCTGTGACCCCGCCCCGTACGGCCCAAGCCCCCAAGAAGAGGTGAGCGGCTTGCCACCCAGTACAACTCCCTCCATCCCCCCACCGTCAGCAAACTACCCCTATCTGGGGCAGCTTTACTTTCCCAAATCTCCTCTAAAATCTCTCTTCTCGGCCTGCCAAACCTCTTTCTCTTTTCTTAATATTTGTGTACAGACATTTTGCTGTGACCAGTCAAATTCTCTTTTCTTTTGCTCTGCTTGTTTGTTTATTGGTATTTTAATAACATAAATAATAATAATACTGCTTTGGGAAGAAACTGCTCTACTAAGAACCCAGAGCAAAACACACTCATTCTCTTACGCAAAGATCTCAGTAGTGTCCTGATATATAAGCATTTTATTAAACTTTACTTCAGTACTCTTTGATTATTGAACATTAATGTTGATTCATAAAGAGTGACGATTGTAAGCATTGAAGGTTGTGTATTTCGCTACACTCTGAAGTTTCAAGACCAGAGGCTTTCATACACTCACGCTTAACTCTGTCAGGGTGCTTGATCACAGGTCAGCAGACACAATCCATTGTCGATAAACTAGGTCAGCATGGACAAAGCTGGAAAAGGGATTTTAACTCGGATACCGTGACACAGCTGCATTTACAAATGGCATTGCATGTTCTGTTTTCTTAATACCTCTGGGATTTACAGCGAAACTCTATAGACCTCTGTTTAACTTGCTGTTTTTATGTCTTACGATAGTAATAATTGAGGAGAAAAGCGTCACGGCATAACACTTCTTTGCATGACCCATGTACACGTCAGTAATAACCTGCCTGAAGCAATGTGATCCACCAGCCATTTTCTCATTGGATAACAAGACAGCTGACACAAATAGAGCCTCCAGGTGGAAGATATTGATTCAATATTACAGATTAGCACTTGTTTGAAGTTCCCTAACATCATTTAGAAGGTTAAAGCTGATTCTATTGGATTTGTTTAACAATTTATTACCTAAAATAGTAGCACATGTGTGACTAAACAATGCCTTTCTGTGAGGGTTGCATTTCCTCACGTTGATATTCACCTGTCATAATTCATTCTTTTTTTAATGTTTTTATTTTTGTGTTGCTGTTTACTTCTTCTCCTTAATTTATTTTCAAATGTTTGGAAAGCTATCTAAGTGTTCTAAAAGCAGTTCATGAGTTTTGTATAAGTGGGCTTCAAACTTAATAAATGGAAGAAAACTCTTTTTGCCGCCTCTGTGTTTGTGTCCCTTAGCAACCGTATAAATACCAGGCTAATTAAAGTGGTGCAGACCATGGCTCTGGATGCTATTCAACTGATTTTTTCCAAGCGTTTCATTAAAATAAGCAGCTCTGTAACTCGCCAATGCTGAAAAATGTGGACAAGGACAATCTGTGGTCTGTTGTCATGGCTACTCTATCCCTTCAGGGTCAGGCTCTATTTCGCAGCCAAAAGCTGACAATAAGCTGAAATTGTTTTCAGTTGATTGAAGTAGCATCTGAAATTTCACATGATTGATTTGTTTAATGACCTGAATAAATGTATTTAATCTTTCAAATCACAGTCTTACCTCTGCTGCTATTTTTGTGCATATAAAACTGTTCCACTGAATTAATCTGGGGTTTATGTTTTAAATGTATGGTGACCAATTGGTGGTTTCCAAATGGGAGATCAGTCAGTTGACCAATCAAATTTTATGGACTAGGAAAAATAATATTTTACAGACTTTGAATTGAGGAAGCAAGCACAATGCAATCAATAGAAGGTGGTCCGTGTGTATCATCAGATCATTTGATTTCCAATTTGAAATGAGAAAACGACACCTTTATTCGTTTTTTTCCGAAAAAACGAGATTTCGGCTTGATTTTTTGTTTTTTAGTTCACAGGCAAAAAACGAATACATGACTTCAAAATTCGTTTTCCACATGTGGGCGGTCATGAGACGCCCCCTTCCGCTGATTGGTCAAGTAAATCTGAGCATGTGACGTCACCAGTCGTCGCTCAGGTCTGTTCAACAAAATAATAGTCCTCAACGGTAATCTACCCATTAAGGATGTAATTTGTCTTTTTGAAAACCCAAACAAATCTTTAGAATCTACTGGTAACTTCCTTATCCTTGTGGCAAACTTTTACTTTCACAAACAAAGGTTTCTTAAGAAAATTCCTAATTTTAAAGATTTCTTATGTGACGTAAAATATTTAATCAAATCACTAAGAATAATTGATAATAGAAAATGTACTACTTTTTTGAAGAAATATAGAGATAGTTTATGTACCATGATTAATATCTGTTTGCCGTTTCCTTTTTTCCCTTTTTCATCGGGTACCGATGACGGTGAAATAAAATTTTACTGAAACTGTAATCATAGCCGCGACCCGCGAGAATGAGACAGATGATTGACAGGATGATAGCGGAGGCAATTAAAGGGGCAAGATAACTTCTGTTAAAAGAAAAAAAAAAGGGTTTAATATAAGTGACTTTAATATAAGTGACTTGACTTTGTCTTTGTTTTATTGTTTTCAATAAAATAATAGTGAACGGTTGACCACAAACTGAGCCTTCGTTTTAAGGGGCAATTTCCAAATATTTTTAAATTATTTGTTATAATATGGGTATTTTGGGTCACCCGTCTTATTAATAGTATATTTGGTAATAAAAAGTTGTTGTTTTTTTAAATTGTGTTTTCATTAAAAATATAGGCCTATCATAACAACTTATAAAGATCAAAAGCTACAGAAGATATTAACAAATAACACTGGTGTTGTCATAAGTTGATCAGTGGGAAAATTTCCTCACCAGCATAACCCTATAGGCCATGTTGGCTAAATGTTACAGTAAATTAAATTAAGTTGGCCCAACTCAATAATTAATATTTAGAATTAAAAATTACCAAAATTGAGTTAGCCCAACTCAATTTAAATTGTTCAAAATTAAGTTGGCTCAACTCAATATTTAGAAATAAAATTTTCGAAAATTAAGTTGACCCAACTCAATTTAAATTGTTCAAAATTAAGTTGGCCCAACTCAATAATTAATATTTAGAATTTAAATTTTCTAAAAATTAAGTTGGCCCAACTCAATTTAAATTGTTCAAAATTAAGTTGATCCAACTCAATAATATTAAAAAAAAAAAAAAAAAAAATTTTTTTTTACATTTTTCCAAAATTAAGTTGGCCCAACTCAATAATTAATATTTAGAATTGAAAATGTCCAAAATAGAGTTGGCCCAACTCAATAATTAATATTTAGAATTAAAATTTTCTAAAAAATTAAGTTGGCCCAACTCAATTAAATTAAGTTGACCCAACTCAATAATTAATATTTAGAATTACATTTTTCCAAAATTAAGTTGGCCCAACTCAATAATTAATATTTAGAATTACATTTTCCCAAAATTAAGTTGGCCAAACTCTAATTAATATTTAGAACTAAAATTTTCCAAAATTAAGTTGGCCCAACTCAATAATTAATATTTAGAATTAAAAATACCACAATTTAGTTGGCCCAACTCAATTTAAATTGTTCAAAATGTCAAACATCTATGTCTACATAGTCTAACATCAAAATGTGAATGTCTTCTGTAGCTTTTGATCTTTATAAGTTGTTATGATAGGCCTATATTTTTAATGAAAACACAATTTAAAAAAACAACAACTTTTTATTACCAAATATACTATTAATAAGACGGGTGACCCAAAATACCCATATTATAACAAATATAAATAAAAGATATTTGGAAATTGCCCTTTAAAACGAAGGCTCAGTTTGTGGTCAACCGTTCACTATTATTTTATTGAAAACAATAAAACAAAGACAAAGTCACTTATATTAAACACTTTTTTGTTTTTTTTTTGTTAACAGAAGTTATCTTGCCCCTTTAATTGCCTCTGCTATCATCCTGTCAATCATCTGTCTCATTCTCGCGGGTCACGGCTATGATTAGAGTGTCAGTGAAATTTAATTTCACCATCATCGGTACCCACCCTCAGCCGATTGGCATAATTACAGTATTTGCAATGACCATCCCGTGTCCAAAACGGAGCTTATACTGTCTAAAAGAAAAGTTGTGACTGCTGTCTGAACACTGGTCTGTGCCTCACCCGCTCGGCGCTGTCTAGCGCAGCACCACACAGATTTAACTCCGTACAGCTAAATAAAACAGGTTGGTGGCAGACTAATATTTAATATTTCTGATGTAAATATTTTTGTGAAACGCGTTAAGTTGCACAGAAGAAAGCCCAATCTAGGACCTGCCCTGTACAGTTTAAGAAGCGGTAGTAGAGGACTATTATTATTATTTATTTATTTGTTTATTTATTTTTATTAAAAAAAAATACAATAGTGCAAACACACATCTTTTAGAAATCTAAAACATTTCCAACAATGTATATATTAAACAAGTAAACTCATTTGTGCACAATCATAGCACAAATACATAAACTATCTCTATATTTCTTCAAAAAAGAAGTACATTTTCTATTATCAATTATTCTTAGTGATTTGATTAAATATTTTACTTCACATAAGAAGTCTTTAAAAGTAGGAATTTTCTTAAGAAACCTTTGTTTGTGAAAGTAAAAGTTTGCCACAAGGATAAGGAAGTTACCAGTAGATTCTAAAGATTTGTTTGGGTTTTCAAAAAGACAAATTACATCCTTAATGGGTAGATTACCGTTGAGGACTATTATTTTGTTGAACAGACCTGAGCGATGAGTGATGACGTCACATGCTCAGATTTACTTGACCAATCAGCGGAAGGGGGCGTCTCATGACCGCCCACATGTGGAAAAAATTTTTTGAAGTCATGTATTCGTTTTTTGCCTGTGAACTAAAAAAAAAAAAAAATCAAGCCGAAATCTCTTCTTTTTTTTTAAACGAATAAAGGTGCCGTTTTCTCATTTCTGCTTATTTCATTTCAAATTGGAAAACAAATGATCGGATGATACACGGACCGTTCTTCAGTGTTGCGTTTAATCGAATTTAATTTTAGTTCATTATTAGTATTTGATTACAAGGTTATGATCTTGTTCCAGGACCAATAAAAGGTCACCTGGTCAAGGGACATGCATGTCTTACCTGGCAAAATTTCAATGACCACCAAGACTAAAGACTCTATACACTCAAATTAATTCTGAAGTGAATTTAAACACAAGCCTCCTTTGTTTTCCATACAAAAAAAAGGAAGTCTCAGTGAGGTTGAAATAAAGGGAAGGTTTTGTCTTTCACCATGCTTTTTCACACTTAATCCCAGTGCATCCATCAGTGTGGGGCACCTTCTCCACCACTTTATCCCCTACATGAGCTGTTATCCAGGCCCAGATTGTGTTCACTGCCCTCCTGAATGGCCCATGAAAGAGGCAGCCACACAGAAGGAAGCAGGGCAGGACCACGTGCAGCTCTGCCAGGAGCCAGACAAACAGCAGGAAGACACCGGCTGTCAGAAGCTGGAGTGCCACTCTCCCTGCACAGATCTCACTCAGCCAACAGCCCAGCTGGCTATTTTTCAGCAACTGAACCAGCCTGCAGTCCCTGACCCTGTTCTGTGAGGTGAAGGAGATTGATCAGTGACAGCCCCAGTCCAAACATGCAGTAGCAGCTCCTAATGCATGTTTCTTTATTACCTGTTGGTCTTGAGTTGAAAGCTGAGATCTGTTAGATGTCTTCATGGAGACCTTATTGGCTTCTGGTGAAAATGTTCTCTTAGCATAATTTGTTCTTATGTGAACTCTCTTCTCCATGATCAGGTTTCCTGAGCAGAACATTTTATTCTGTGAGTAAATCTCTTTTACATGTGTTCTTATAATGTTAGGCACTTATACACATTAAGGCTGCTGGTATTATAAATCTGATTTTTGCTATAACGTTAGCTGATGGGTAAACAAGTGAATAATTAAATCACACTATCAAACATTCAGACACCAATAAAAAGGAAGGTAATTTTAACTGAAAGACGTTATGCTCCCAGAATAAAAGTTTTTTTGTTTTGTTTTTTTATAAAATGTTTTTTAAATGCTGTAAATTCTATAATTAACAATATTTGTATGGTACTTAACTTATAATTATATAATAATTGTCATACTCTTTAAATTTAGATGAAAATCCTAATAGACTACCGGTATGTATCATAAAGAAAAATAAATAAATAGTATAAAAAATAAGAAATGAATAAAAATAAAGTGTAACATCTAACCCATGGTGTGTATATAGTTTTCTTATCTAAGTGTGCTTAAATAACCAACATACCTGAATGAAAGGATCTATTATCTTCACCTCTGAGGACACAATCAGGAAAGAAACTGTTTTGACAGTTTAAATGAAAACAGTTCTCTCCACTGACACTCTTCGATTTATATTATAGTGTGCGTGTCCTCCAGGTCAGCAGGAGGCAGCAGCGCGACTAGCGTGTCTATAGCGGATGTGGATGTGTCATGATCCCAAACTCACATCACAACAACACACTGACACCTCAGCTGGATTTTCTGACCCGCTCTGGTCCAAAAAACAGTCAACACCCTCACAAACCTCACTGACAGGCTCATAAACACACTAAGAGGTGGTACGTGAATCGGACGGTGGGTTTATGTCGTAGAATCCGCAGGTTTTGGGTCCGGTTCGTTCCGCCCGAATCATGTCCTGCTGCCTGCTGGAGTTCGGCCGGGTCCAGGAGCTCAGACAGGTGCGAGAGTTTCTGTTCCCCAAGCACAAGAAAGCCGGTCCGGAGGAAGAGAAAACACAAGCAGGTACTGCTGAAGTCAGTCTGTATGTGTAACGTTATGTAAGGTCCAGTTTAATGATGGTTCTCCTGCACTGCGGTTGTTCAGTGATTTATGGGTGTCAGTAAGGGTGTTGTTTGATGGTTGGTAGAGTTGAAAAGTGGATGTTCGGAGGTAAGTGCAGAACGACACAGTCATGACAGGCAAAAAAAAAAAAAAAAAAACAGTAAAATTTACCTACTAAATATATAAATGCAAAAAAACTTCTGCGAGAGGAAGGTTTGGAGTTAGGGGATATAAAATAAACTGATTGTATAGTAATCTAATGCTAAGTCAATGGAAAGTATGTGGGTGAATTTAGAAAAAAGAAAATGTGTAAAAAGTGGTTTTTCTGACTATGATGCAGAATAACTTATTCACTCCCTGCAGAGAGAAAGAGGGAGAGGAAGGGAGGTGTGTTTGCCCTTGGTGAATGAGTCATCCTGCAGAAAGATTCTGAAGCACATGACTGCGTTTGAGACAGTGAATGAACGAAAGACCAATGAAGAGAAAGACAGGAATAGAAAAGGGATGGGTCCTTTATAGTGACGTGAAGGAGAAATGAATATGCATGAAATTAAAGATAGAGAGAAGACTTTAAATAAGCTCTAACAGAGGTTGAAGTAGCAGATTGAGCTGACTGTTATAGTGAATAGATTAATCCTTGCTGACCACATTATTTACAGCACATCATTTTCTCTCTCTCTCTCTCTCTCTCTCTCTCTCTCTCTCTCTCTCTCTCTCTCTCTCTCTCTCTCTCTAGAGCATGAGTTAACGTGGGATGACTCGGACTGGGGCTCCTGGGAGAATCCTGACGGTAAAGAGGATGGAGCTCAGGTTTGTATTAAAGGATTGGAAGACCCAAAAATTCAATTCAAATTTATTTGTATAGAGCTTTTCACAATACATATTGTTTCAAAGCAGCTTTACAGAAAGTGCATTTCAAAAATGTACATAGAAAAAATACAGTTTGTTAATCATGTATTAATTTAGGGCATAACATATCGCCGGTCGTCGAGTCGTCTCTTCACAGGCGTTTAGTCATCTCATCGCAGGTGTTGGGGCATCTGAAGTCTCCGTGAGAGGCTGGATACAAACTGGAACTGACGAACGCTATTTACCTCGGGACTAGCGTCCCGAGATAACAGCAGAAAAGCAGATGGGAAATAATTAGCATAGCTGCTGTTCATAATATTAATGCATTCGATCTGAATGATTCAACAGTAGTATAAAAGGTAAGCATTATGTGAATGCTTGGCTAAAGAGATGCGTCTTTAATCTAGTTTTAAACTGGGACAGCGAGTCTGAGCCTCGAACAATATCAGGAAGGCTATTCCAGAGTTTAGGAGCTAAATGTGAGAACGCCCTCCCTCCTTTAGTGGACTTAGATATCCTAGGAATGACCAGAAGCCTTGAAATTTAGTGATCTTAAAGAACGTGATGAATTGTAGGGCGATAGAAGGTCCATTAAATACACAGGTGCTAGACCATTTAGGGCTTTATAGGTCAGTAGTAATAAGTTTGTAATTGATACGGAACTTAATAGGTAACCAGTGTAGAGATGAAAAAATTGGTGTTATATGATCATATTTTCTTGACCTAGTAAGAACTCTAGCAGCTGCATTTTGCACTAACTGTAGCTTGTTTATTGAGGATGCAGGACAACCAGCTAATAAAGCATTACAGTAATCTAGTCTCGAGGTCATGAATGCATGAACTAACTTTTCTGCATCAGCTACAGATAGCATGTTACGTAGCTTAACAATGTTTCTAAGGTGGAAAAAGGCTGTTCTTGTAACATATGAAATATGATTTTCGAAAGACAAGTTGCGGTCTAGTATAACAACCAGGTCTTTTTCTGTAGTGGATAAAGTAACAGGACATCCTTCTAAATTAAAGTTGTATTGTAAGAGGTTTTGTGGGTAGTTTTTTGGACCAATAAGTAATACCTCTGTTTTATCTGAATTTAATAGCAGGAAATTACACGTCATCCAGCATTTTATATCTTTAAGACACTCTGTCAATTTAGATAAGTTAGTGTTTTCATCTGGTCGTGATGAAATATATAATTGAGTGTCATCAGCATAACAGTGGAAATTAATTCCATGTTTTCTTATAATATTACCAAGTGGCAGCATATATATTGAGAATAGCAGAGGGCCTAACACCGATCCTTGCGGCACTCCATAGTCTACTGACGTTATCTTCGTTATTTTTCCCCATTTAAACAGATAAAATGGTAACGGTCTGATAAGTACGATCTAAACTAGCTTAGTGCCTGTCCCTGAACACCAGTGTAGTTTTGTAGTCGATCCAAGAGTATTTTATGATCTATAGTGTCGAACGCAGCGCTAAGATCGAGTAGAACTAGTATTGAGATACAGCCTTGGTCAGAAGCTGAAAGTAAATCATTTGTAATTTTAACTAGTGCTATGATGCGGTCTGAATCCTGACTGAAATTTTTCATATATCTCATTTTCTTGCAAGAAAGAGCACAATTGAGCGGACACAACTTTTTCTAGTATTTTAGACATAAATGGAAGATTTGAAATACCGGTAGGTCTGTAATTTGCTAGGTTATTTGGATCTAATTGTGGTTTCTTAATGAGAGGTTTTATTACTGCCAGCTTGAATATTCTTGGAACATGACCTAAAAATAAAGACGAGTTAATAATATTGAGAAGAGGCTCTTCCACTACAGGTAACACTTCTTTCAGTAGTTTAGTGGGTATTGGATCTAATAAACATGTTGTTGGTTTAGATGCAATGATAAGTTTATTTAGCTCTTCCTGTCCTATAGTTGTAAAGCGGTGTAGTTGTTCTTGAGGGGCGATAATTAGGGCTGAATCATAAGACACCATAAAAGATTGTACATTTACAATTGTGTTTCTGATGCTTTCTATTTTCTCAGTGAAGAAATTCATAAAATCATTACTACTACACTGTAACGGAATATTTTGCTCAGGTGATGTCTGTTTATTTGTTAGTCTAGCCACAGTGTTAAATAAAAACCTTGGATTATTTTGGTTATTTTCTATTAGTTTGCGGAGATGCTCAGCCCTGGCTGCTTTTAGAGCCTTTTTATAACGTGACATAATGTCTTTCCACACGATTCTAAAGACTTCTAAATTAGTTTGTTTCCATTTACGCTCTAAGTTACGAGTTTCTCTCTTGATAGCATGCGTAGCACTGTTGTACCATGGTGCTTTAGTTTTCTCTCTAACCTTTTTTAATCTAATTGGTGCAACAATTTCTAATGTACTAGAGAAAATGGTGCTAAAACTGCTAGTCATTTCCTCTAGTTCATCTGTTTGTTTGGGTTCACTGAGCAGCTGAGATAGATCAGGTTAGCTATTTGAGAATCTATCTATAGTGGTTGGAAGGATTGTTCTGCCTGGTCGATAACGTGGCACAACATGACAAATTTCAGCAGTATGTAGTATGCAAGTTACCATGTAATGATCAGTGACATCATCACTTTGCGGTATAATATCTATATCGGTTGGATTGGTTCCATATGATATAATTAGACGATGAGTGGGACCACTGACATTCTGCTTGACCCCAAAGGAGTTTGATAAATCTGTAAACGCAGCCCCTAACGCATCATTTGTGTTATCTATGTGTATGTTAAAATCTCCAACAATTATTGCTTTATCGCCATTCGCCATTGACCAATAGATCTAAGAGAAAGTCTGCAAACTCTTTTAGGAATTCAGCATATGGCCCTAGAGGTCTACTCTATATAAAGTAGCCAAGGCTAGAGATAATAGGGATTTCTTTCTTACATCTAAGAGCGTAACATTTAGCACAAGTACTTCAAACGAATTAAACCTGTGACCTGTTTTCTGAGTAACATTTAGAATATCTCTATAGATTGTTGCAACACCGCCGCCATGACCGATCAGACGGGGCTCATGCTTATAACAGTATCCTGGTGGAGTAGACTCATTTAGACCAAAAGAATCATTTGGTTTAAGCCAAGTTTCAGTAAGGCAAAGTGCATCTATTATCTGTGACCATTTCATTTACAATAACCGCCTTAGGTGTGAGCGATCTAATGTTTAGAAGACCTAGCTTTAGAAATTGTTTTTGTTCACTGATATTGAGATTTTCTGGTTTAATTACAATTAAATTTTTCCTAGATCCTACAGTAGATTTATTGTTTGGCCTCACTAAACGAGGAATAGACACAGTTTCTATATAATGTTCTACACTACTTATGATATAAATTAAGTTGGGACAGCAAAGACTGTGATTTGGACTTGACTTACTAGTCATATGGTAAAATGAAAATTTTGTTATTATTTAATAAAATGTAATTCCAAACCTGTGTGTTCTCCTAGGCTGAGGAGGAGGAGCAGCAGCAGCAAAGCGCCCCCTGGCTGCAGGACTGTGTTCTGTCTCTCTCGCCCTGCTCAGATCTACTGGTCATTGCTCGAGAGCATAAAGCCACATTTCTCTCTGGTACACACATACAGTACTGATTAATCTCTTCTTTATTGCTTATTGGTTATGGATTGGTATAACTCATAGACTGATTGATTGATTGATTGATTGATTGATTGATTGATTGATTGATTGATTGATTGATTGGCAGCAAAGTGGCGGACAGCTGAAAGTGGGCAGGAGGAAATGGCCCTAACTGTGACCTGGAGCGGAACGCTGAGAGTTGAAGAGGGGTGAGAGACGAAATAGGAGAGGGCAGGGTCAGGTTTGGATGTTTTTTTGGGAAATAACATAAAGGGATTTAATCCCACAAAGAAGAAAGGATGAGTACAAGACAAAAACAGAATTGGGCAATAATATAAGTAGAGGAGTTTCTAAACATTTAATAAAAATATGTTTATAATAAGAGGGATTGTAATAAATAGAAAGCTCAGAGGCAGAAGAACACAAATAAATAAAGATAATGTTTTTATTTTTGTTCATTGGTTCTCAATTTTCTGTCTGTTCTTTTCACAGAGAGTGTATCAGTAGTGTTATCTGTATTCCGTTGGCCAGTCAAAAGAGGTAAGAACATCACACTCACACACACACACACACACACACTCCTGTTTAAACAGATCTAAACTTTTGAACGGTAATGTATGTGCTCATTATCTGTTTAGAAGTTCTACCGGTCGCCCCGACTGGACCTGTATTGTGGTTGGATTCAGCTCAGGTTATGTCCGTTTCTACACAGAGGTACTGTGATGTTTTCTGACCTATAAACTCACCAGCTGAATTTGACTCTTTAATGCATTAATAATAAACAGTATTGTGCCATTTTTAATTAAAACCAGACCAGTATCAGAGCAGACAATCCACTGGTCTTATCCATCATTTGTGTGTGTGTGTGTGTATAGAGTGGTGTTCTTCTGTTGGCCCAATTGTTGCATGAAGATCCTGTGCAGCGACTGAAATGTCGCACCTATGAGATTCCACGTCACCCTGGAGTAACGGAACAGGTACCGATAACTCTTACCTTGACTGATGTGTTCATTTCTGCACAAAGCAATTCTTAGCATGGTTACTCATGACACCTTAACTTAAACAGCAGACCAAACTACGCTGATGATGTTGAAATGTCTATCTCTCTCTATCAGCATGAGGAGCTCAGTATTTTGTACCCAGCAGCCCTGGTCACCATCGATGGCTTTAGTCTCTTCCAGTCTCTACGTGCCTGTCGAAACCAGGTTGCCAGAGGTAAGAGAGAGTGCTGGTGTGTGAATGTGTATCAGGCTTTCATCAGATTATAAGTGGCCTGTAATGCCTTACATATTTTTAATTTTGCCTTTCATGTTATTTGTTTTCATCCCTTTTATTCCCTGTATCTATCCCTTTGCCTTTTAGCGGCAGCAGCAGGAAGTGATGTCATCCAGCCTCCACCACTGGCCTATAAGAAGTGGGGCCTACAAGATATGGACACAATTACAGACCATTCCAGCATCGGTAAGAGAGATTTCTTTTTTTAATTTTCTTTTTTATCTTTTTGAACAGAAAGCCACAGCACAGTAGAAAAACTGGTAATATTCACTATCATTCAAAACTTTGGGGTCGGTAGTATGGAAGTAAAATAATGGCAAATGTTTTCGAAACAAAAAAGCTTGTTGAATTGCACTACTTCAAAAATATGCATTGTATTAACCGTGCTTGCATTTTAATGCATTGTATTTTTAGGGCTTGCATTTTTATGGGCTGAAAACATGGTTGTATACTTAAGCTGTAAATATTTCAATTCAAAACATCTCGCACACATTTTCATTATTAAAACTTCAATAATCCATATTCACCTTTCAGATTTCACTTCCAAAATATTCATTCTGGTTAAAAATACACAACCTATAATATTCGACTGGCAATTTTCGGTGTAAACAGCGCAGCCCATGGCAACCCACAATGTACTCCTTCTAGTGGCAACAGTTGTATTTTTCTTTTCAAAACTCAGTAAATGACTCGGTGTGCAATACAATAAATTTCCCCTTTTTGTCACATAATTAATTAATTAATTAATACACAAATAAATAAAGAAATAATAATTTTAAAACACATTACCTTGTGACTACACATGGGTGAATCACACAAGCACGGTTAATGCCATGCATATTTTTTTTAATTAGTGCAATTCAACAAGCTTTTTTGTTTCAAAAACATCTGGCATTAATTTTCTTCCATACAGTAGGATGTTTTTGAAAAAGTCTCTCATGCACAAGGCTGCATTTAAAAAAAATACAGTAGAAACAGTAATATTGTGAAATATTTTTATAATTTAAAATAACTGTTTATTATTTGAATATATTTTAAAATGTAATTTATTCCTGAGATCCCACAATTCTCAGCATCATTACTCCAGTCTTCAGTGTCACACGACTCTTCAGAAATCATTCTAATATACTGATTTGGTGCTCAAGAAACATTTATTCTTGTTATCAATGTTGAAAACAGTTTTTTTTTTGTGGAAATGTGATGCATTGTTTAGGATTATTTGACAAATAGAAAGCTCAAAAAGAACCTATGTATTTGAAATATGAACTCTTTTGTGATATTATAAATCTCTTTACTGTCACTTTTGAATTGAATGCATCCTCGCTAAATAAAACTATTAATGTCTTTAAAAAAAAAAATATTACTGGCTCCAAACTTTTGATTGGTAGTGTAAGGTATTGTCTGTCTCTTTCAGGTATTACTACTCTGAGTGTGTTCGATCAGATGAAAAATGCCTCCATTCTGGGAGGATATCATGCTTCGGTTAAAGGAAGCCCTCCTGCTATGAGTCAGTATATCACAGTGGGAGGAGGACCCTACACTGGGTTTTACTACGCTATAGAGGTACACACACACACACACACACACACACACACATCTTTTCCTTGGTCTATTGTTGGTGCTTGTGGCTTATTTGTAGTTGTTCTTGATGATTATGGCCATTTTTCCTCTCTCATATCTCAGGGAAGTTCTCAGCCTCTTCTCTCCCATGTGGCTCTGGCTGTGGCCAGCAAACTCACATCAGCTCTGTTCAATGCTGCCAGGTCTGTGTCTGGGTTATTTTAACTCTTGGCTCTCATTAGCACTGGCCTGTCATGTTTAAGCTCACTCCATGTTTATGCATTCTTGGTCTCTGTCTCTCTCTCTCTTTTCTTCCTCCATAGTGGTTGGTTGGGATGGAAGAGTAAAAATGAAGAGGAGTCAGTGCAGAAACAGAAGCCAAAGGTGGAGCCGGCCACAGCCCTTCCTGTTAGGTAAATCTGAATGCAGTACCACTACCTCCCAATGTTGCTTTTTAACTTCTTTTAATCATATACACACCAGTGTTGGGTGTAATACATCACTAATTAATTATTGTAAAATTGAATTACTTTTCCCTTGAAAAAGTAAAGTAAGGGATTACTCTTAATTTTTCTGTAATTAAATTACAGTTACTTCTGATGTAATAGACTGTATAGACCAATAGAACTATTCTATATAAAACAATATAGGATTTAACATCTAGGGCCCTATTTTAACGATCTGAAACGCAAGTATCAAGGGCGAAGCGCAAGTAACTTTGAGATTCCTTGCAGACAATCATTAAGATTTTTTTTTCCTGGTTCTTGACGGACAAACTAATTTGTCAGATGTCCTTATATACATATGTGTCTTGCCACTATTGGGCAAACAGGTCTGATCTATCATTACTACAATTAGCCTGAAAAATTTGGGTAAGCTAGATTTAGGCCTACATTTTTTTATATCTTCATGCCCGCTTCAAAGCCCGCTTTGTGCGAGTGCAAAATAGGAATGATACATGCGTCAGTGTACAAAGTAATTTGCGCCGGGTGCAAGATAGGGCCCCTAATGTTGAAATGCATGTGCACATTTGAAAATCATGCTTTCCCCATTTATGGTTGAATCACGGAAGCTACAACAGTTACTTTTGCTAAGAGATTTATTATTTATTATGTATCATGTGTCAGACAGAGAGAAACAGGCATATAAGAATAAGGCTACAGGCGAGGAGGACTTCATTACATATTTCTCTGTTCCCCATTTCTCTATCCTCTCACCCCATCATGCCAGCTGTAAATGGTTTCTTGGTGTTTCTCCTTCCTCTCACCCCGTCATGCCTTTATGTTTCTCTGAGGTGGTACAGTAAGATTGAGCTTATATACATCACAGAGAGACTTTACAACTTCCTTGTAAGGTAGAAAATTGCTTATGTTTAAAAATGCAATGTATACCTCATGCTTACACATGGTACAATCCACTATCCCTCTGTGTATACATTAGTGGTACATTTGCATCAGTTGAAACATTCCTTTCCTTGTAAAGAACATGCCAACTGTACACATTTGAAGTATCGCCATCAGTGGAACATCTCTGCTCAGTGAACATGTTACATTGCACACATACCTCTAAGCAAAATATAGCTCATCCCAGATCTCTCATCAGCACACATGTACAAACATACTCTGACTTCACAAAATACATTATGGAATTATGAAAATGAATAAAGAAAAATAACATAAAACAATAATTGTTTAGTCTTCAGCATGTTTTAATCTAACATTCTCCCTTCAAATACTCTGGTCAGTTCAAGAATAATTTATGCAATTTTATATTATTTATTTTAAAGAATTAAAAGAGCAGTTTCATGTCTATCCTTGGTCAAAGTTGATATGGGATTTAGAAAGTAATTATTAATAATGTATTATTAATGTAATACTTTTTAGAGAGAGAAATTAATGCAATAATTGAATTACACTGTTAAAGATGTAATTAGTAGCTAGTAATTAATCATTTTTTTAGAGTAACTTACCAAACACTGATACACACCATATTTAACAAATTTAAGTGCACAATTAAATTTTTCTGCTTTCATCAGGTTTGGTCTTCCAGATTCTCGTCGACATGGCGAGTCTATCTGTCTCTCTCCATGTAACACTATGGCTGGAGTCACAGATGACTTTGGAAGAGTCACGCTGCTGGATGTGGCACGAGGCATCGCTATCAGGATGTGGAAGGGTGAGCAGTGTAGCGCAACTAATGTAGTCGGATTTGCGAACAAGCATCTAATGAGCCTGTTCCTATTAAATTGCAGAAGTATCTTGTGACAAACAAGATTTGAATCAGTGTGACGAATGCTTTAGTGAACAAACACACTAAAAACATCTGAGCAAATCAGTATCATTAGGGACTGCTTGTCCATATGACAATGTGTAGTTAAAAGTAATTTTTTTTGTAATAATTTAAATTAAATTTTGTAAAAGAAATAAATGTTATTGTACAAAAATATTTATATTTGTTTTAAATATAATTAAGTGAATACTATAATTATACAAATAAATTCAACTATAAAAATTAAACATTTGTTTTAAATTGTTTTCTTAATGTCTGTATTGTGTGTAGGCTATCGTGATGCTCAGCTCGGGTGGGTGCAGGTGTCAGAGGCTCCTGGGGAGAGAGAAATAGCCACATCTCCCTCTATGCCCCGCCGGCACGCCCAGTTTCTGGTGATTTATGCCCCACGTAGGGGCATTTTAGAGGTGTGGGGAACTCAGCATGGACCTCGAGTAGGGGCTTTTACTGTAGGCAAACACTGCAGGTACACACTCTAACTAAAAAAAAACTAAAATACATTGCTACAATTCAAAAATGCATATTAATTAATTAATTACTCTCTCTTAAGGCTGTTGTATGCAGGTCACAGGTTAATGGGTGTGAATAGTGTAACCAGTCAGGGTTGGCAGATACACACACAGCAGGTGTGTCTTTTTGATCCGGTTAATGGAGCCCTGAGAGCCATCACCATACCATTCCACCTGGCACTCAGGTACACACTCATACATAAAAATTGCACATTAATATAAAAAAAAAAAAAACAATGCAGGTGAGCACAGATGTATCTGTTCTGTTTGTTGGTCAGTGATAAGAAGAGTGAGCGTGCTAAAGACATGCACCTGCTAAGGAGACTCACCACTCTACTGAGGACCAGGGAGGTGGAACCAGGTCAGACATACCTCATAGTTCACTCAAATATGTAAATTCTGTCATCATTTACTCATTCTCAAGTTGTTCCAAACCTGTATGATTTTATCTCTTCTGCTGAACACTAAAGAAGATATTTTGAAGAATATGGGTAACCAAACAGTGGATGGGCCCCATTAACTTCCATAGTATGGAGAAAAAAATACTATGGAAGTAAATAGGGGCCCATCAACTGCTTGGTTACTGACATTCTTCAAAATAACTTCTTTTGTGTTCTGAAGAAGAAAGAAATTCATACAGGTTTAGAACAACTTGAGGGTGAGTAAATGATGACAGAATTATCATTTTTGGACTAACTATCCCTTTAATATTCACGAGAGACCATGCATATACATCAGAACATCTTTTTTTTTTTAAAGAACTATTAATACCCAATGTTGTGTTTAAGTTCTATTGCTCTGATGTGTCCACATGTTTGAGTTTACCTTTGAACTTTGATTGATAGCTCTGCTTGAGAGTGAAGCACAAAGTGTGTTATTGGACATTAAACATCCAGCTATTAAGAAACAGGTTAGTAAAACACATACACCAACATATTCATTCATATATGTTAATAAATATTTAAATAATAAATAACATATCTGATTGATTGACAGGCCCTGGAGTCACTGCTGTCCAATAAGAATGCTCCAGTGTCCTGTTTGACCCATGTTACTCGTGCATTATTGGCTAGCCTGAAAGAACAAGGTAACTCCCTCCATCCTCACTGGGCACTGTGTATTTTTCATATTTAAACACTGATCTGGTTTTCATGCGTCTTCGTATTAGATCCGGAAGCAGTGGATGAGTCGTTGCTGCAGTTTTGTTCATCCCAGCTCAAACTTCTTCAGCTCTATACAGATGTTCAGTTACTGCACACACCAGATACATCACCCACTGAGCCAGAACATGTGAGTAACACATGCACACAGACACTATCCAGTTAAGCAAACTAATGTACCATTGTTACACTAAGATTGGAACTTAAGGTTTCTGCTCTCTGTACAGCCGTCTTTTTCTGGCATTGAGGAGGATCTTGCTCGTGTTGGCCCAATCCTGCAACGATACACAGAGATGAACTCTCGGCCCTCTGTCTCATTTGCTCAAGACTCTAGTGGGCCGCTGCCAGTCCGAACATTTCTGTCTCAGTTGGAATGGGTGAACGGAGAGCTCAGAGTGATTAAACAACCTGATACCGACTGGACCCAACTAGGTAAAACCGCTCCCTGCTAGTGCTATGTGTTTATTTTTATGCATTATTTTAATGTTTTAAAGACCCCTTGAGGTGAAAATAAAGTTTTTAGTATTGTTTATATGTCTATGTGGTGTTTTTAATATGCTTTTAGACAAACATGTAACGAATCCCGTCAACGTGCAGGTGGGGCTTTTCTCCATTGACTTTCTACGATGTTCAGATCATCTAACTTTTTAGATGGCGAACAGGAACATGTTTACATGGTTTGTGTAGCATTAACAACACATTATTAGCTGTTTGATAACGTAGTCAAGCCAAAAGCTAATCATATAATTTACGGTCATGTGTCTGACATTGTAGAGAGCAATACATAAAAGCCTTTACCATTCTGATACATCAACTTGTAGACGACTCTGTATAATTCACTGTTCAACTATTTCTTATAACATATATGGCTGAATTAAACCAATATTTCCACTTGCCATTGTGTAGCGTTTACTACAGTAAAGTTGACCATGTGGAACAGGTACTCCGAACTGGTGTGATTGAGTGGAGGCGGGGACTAATTTGCATATTCTCTTAATTTATTTTTAAAACACAATAATAACCAAATGTTATCTTTTGCAAATCTCAAAATTAATATCCATTTTTGTACTGCCTAAATTTACTTGTAACATTTTAAATGATTGGTTTAAGTTTTTAGTGTTTATTTTTAATGTATCTATAGCCTGGCTAACGTCAGACCACGTCTCATTGACATTGAGACGTGGTCTGGGAACCACATGTTCATTTTCTCGTATTTGAGGCGTGGTTTACGAATGCCCAGAGCCGTTTATTGGGTGCTACGAATGTCTATCAAATGCGCCTGTACGTAGCTCATAGCCAATCGTTTCAATTATACCAGATGACGTATGTAGAGCGAAAGAATTTAGACGAGGAAGAAGACGATGGGTCAGAGATTTATTTGCGTTCTAAACAAACTGCTTCGGTGTGTCGCATAGACGCCGTCATCGTCTTGCTGCTCCCTCCTCGTTCTGTGATTGGTCCCCTCGCTGAGGCGAAAATTTGGTCCATGGTATCCAGACTGCCTAGCAGCGTGAATAAAACCGCGCTGCGCAAAGGCAGTATGGGGAAACCCAGACTAATGTATTTAGACAAAATAGTATATAATATTAATAATGGCCATTTAAAGGTTAATCAGCCGTAACATGAAAATAATTATCTGTATCTTCAGAATTTTAAAAATTGGTGCGTCACTGTCATTATATAAGCGGTTAATTGATATGTGAATTTGAATGCTTTCAGGTAGTTTCCTGTTCTGGGGTTGTCTGTCTGGACAGAGTCCTTTACAGAGAGTGTGTGAGACTCTGCAGGAAAGTGGCATCAGCCCTCAGCAGCTATTGGTAAGATAAAGGGATGTAAAAAGAACACAAAAGATTGAAGGATGGATTATTATGGTGATGAAGGATGGAATGATTAGAAAATAATGTGAATTTGCTGAGATTTTTGCTCATTATAAAATTCTCTCCTTTTGATTTCACACTGTTTCTCTCTCTTTCTCTCCCTCTCTCTCTCTCTCTCTCTCTCTCTCTCTCTCTCTCTCTCTCTCTCTCTCTCTCTCTCTCTCTGGCAGTCTTTGCTCTTATCAGTTTGGCTGAACAAAGAAAAAGAAGTACTGAAGTTCCCAGATGCCGTCTCACACCTGCACACGTTGCTGTCTACCCTCAGCTCAATGAAAGGTCTTTAACATCATCTGGAGGAGAGACTGACCTTGTGTCCTCCATATTTTATCATGTATATTAATATTTCAATTGTGTGTGTATCAGGAGCAGTAAATGAGTCATGGGACGGCCAGTGTGTCTCACCCTGGTGGCAGCAGGTCCGCACAGCATGTGTTCAGTCTGAAAGCGCGGCCTCCGCACTACTGGCTGCTCTAGTCGCTCATCGTGTAGCCAAGAATGCCATCACCAGGCTGGCAGAAAGCAAGGTGTCTGTGTGTGTCTTTTTTCTGCATCTGTAGAATTGGTGCAGTGTGTTTAACTCTCTTTCTCTCTGTGCAGTTTCAGGAGGAGTGGGTGTGTGTTTCTCTGGAGTTGGAGCAGTGGGTTGTGTGTATAAAGCAGTTGGAGGATGTTCTTGCTCTGCAGACGCTGCTCTGCCTGCCGTCTCTTCAGGGCTCTACAGGGGGCACTGTTACACGCTGCTCAGTCAAAACACTATTAGAGAGTGGCAGAGGTGCATAAAACACACATACACTACCATTCCAAATTATGGGGACAGTAAGATTTTTTTTAAAGTAATTAATGCTTTTATTCCGCAAGGATGGCTTAAATTGACCAAAAGTGTCAGTAAAGATATTTATAACGTTACAAAAGATTTCTATTTCAAATAAATGCTGTTCTTTTTAACTTTGTTTATCGAAGAATCTACAGTTTTTTGTCAAATAAATGCAACTTTTAAAGCTAGTGAATATTGAAGCTGTCAGTAAAATTAAGATTAAAATCTATGCTTTCATACCAGGTAATAAGCAAATTGATGATTAGTGTTTCCATATTTTCGTTTTTTGTCTTTTAGGTGGTGTAGCAGACTGCGTTTCAAAATTGATCTTCAGACAGGGTGTGTCTCCAGATCTCTTGAGTAAGATCTTTCAACAGAGGGGAGAGAATGAGCCCACGGAACAGCCCTTTCAGCAAGGCAGGGAGGAGAAACTGGAGGGTAACCATGGAGATTCTTGATCATGTGACTTAGATGATACATCAAAATTGTTCCATGGTGGTTTCTTTTAACCATCTGTGTGTGTTCTGTGCTTGACTAAAGCATGTGTGTGTGTTGTCTCAGAGCTGCTGGAGTGTGTGTGTCAGCGGTTCCCAAGCTCTCTGTCTCCTGATGTGCTGTTTGCTCACTGTAGCTGGGAAAATGTGGTCCAGTGGAACAAAGACCCAGAGGTAAAGACTTTAAAAAGTCTCAAGGCTTTCTTATAATAAGGTTGGGAACCAATTGCCAGTTCTTATTTAGAACTTAAAAATAAATACTGGAACCAAATTACTTGTTTTTGTTAAATTGCATTAATTTAGCAAAATATTTTTTTTTATTTTGTTTTTTAATACTTATTTCTAAAAGTACTAAAAAATTGTTAATGGAGCAGTCAAGTTACCTTTATTTGTATAGCACTTTATATACAGATTGTTTCAAAACAGCTTTACAGTGATAACAGGAAAATGATGCATTTCGGCTGTTGTTCAGCTGAAGTCAGTTCAGTGTTGATTCAGTTCCGTTGTAAAGATCATGAATTATTAAATCAGTTAATTTCTTCTATGAACCAGTTCTGCAAAAAATGATGTCATTGTCCAGCTCAGTTCAGTTATCATACAACAGCGTCAGTACAGTCAGATCAATAATATCGTTGAATATTAAATGTCCCCAACTAAGCAAGCCGGAGGTGACAGTGGCAAGGAACCCAAGTTCCATCAGGTGACAAAACCTTGGGAGAAACCAGGCTCAGTCAGGGGCCAGTTCTCCTCTGGATTAACCTAATATTGAAGCCAGTTGGTTTAATTAATTGTAACTGACTGGGAAACCGAAGTTTTCCCAAACTTGCGATCTTAAAGGGATAGTTAGGCCAAAAATGATATTTAACACATGCATTACTCACCCTCAAGCCGTTCGAGATGTATATGTCAATCTTGTTTCAGACGAACACATTTTCAGTTATTTTAGAAAATGTCTTAGACAAAAGTACATATAATCCTTGTAAAAATACATCCTTCACAAAAGTAATCAATCCGGCTCCAGGGGGATAAACGAAGTCCTTCTGAAGGCAATCCGTGCGTTTTTTTTCGTAAAAATATACATATTTAAAACTTTATAAATGAAAATATCTGACTTCCGGCAACAATCGACGCGCGTTCACGGGTGATGGAAGTCGGCGTACGAGGTAGGACGTAGCATAGGAACCGTCGTGACGTAGAACGAACGCGCCTGCGCAGCCAGAGAGCAGAGCAGAGCAAAACTACCTCGTACGCCGACTTCCATCACCCGTGAACGCGCGTCGATCGTTGCCGGAAGTCAGATATTTTCATTTATAAAGTTTTAAATATGTATATTTTTACGAAAAAAACCGCACGGATTACCCTCAGAAGGCCTTCGTTTATCCCCCTGGAGCCGGATTGATTACTTTTGTGAAGGATGTATGCACATTTTGGGACTTGAAGGAGGTGGACCCCATTGCTTCACATTATATCCACTGAAGGGTCTAAGACATTTTCTAAAATAACTGAAAATGTGTTCGTCTGAAACAAGATTGACATATGCATCTCGAACGGCTTGAGGGTGAGTAATGCATGTGTTAAATATAATTTTTGGCCGAACTATCCCTTTAAAGAGGCCGGCGGGTCCGCATACATAGGTGGAGCTCGCCTAAAGCGGGGCTACAGATTATGTGTCCCTAAAGAACCAGCGTATCTAACAGTAGTTCCGCATTACATTAATTAATTTGCACGCAAGTTTCATTTATTTATATACCGTGTATTCTCTGTGTAAATTCATGCACCGAACCGTGACGCCCGTACCGTTTCGGTTCAATACGAATACATGTACCGTTCCACCCCAAAATGTTTGATCACCATTATGGTGACCAGTGTTTGCTTTAGTTGGGCAGTTTGACTCTTAGCTTTTTTTGTGAGTTTGTGGTTTTTGTAACTGTTTTTACCAAAACACGTAATTTGTTGCAACTGTGAAAAATGTCTGTGGAGAGGACCTGTCTGGTTCTTGGGGTCTGTGCCGATGGCTGTCATTGATTATGTGTTATGTGTATGCCAGGTTAAAGTTATGTGCTTTTTAGTCTAGATTTAAACTGACAAGAGTGTGTCTGCTTCCTGAACAAGGCTAGGGAGACTATTCCACAGTTTGGGTGCTAGGATCTACCGCCAGCAGTTGATTTTGATATTCTAGGTATTATCAACTGGCCAGAATTTTGAGATCGCAGTAGACGTGAAGGACTAAAATGCGATCAGAGCTCGCTCAAGTACTGAGGAGCTAAACCATTTAGTGCTTTGTAATTAATTAGCAAGATTTAAAAATGTATGTGATGTTTAATAGGGAGCCAGTGCAGTGCTGACAGAACTGGGCTAATATGGTCATACATCCTGGTTCTAGTAAGAACTCTAGCTGCTGCATTTTGGATCAGCTGGAGTTTGTTTATTACGCTTGCTGTTTATTAAGCGTGCAGGGCAACCACCCACGAATCCTTGCTATTCGCTGTTCAGTAATACTGAACTGATATATACTGAGTACTGATATGGTATGATATAGTATAATATATACTGATATTCCTAATATTGATATAAAATATCAGCCAATCACAGAGGACACTTCAACTCTCTCTCTCTTTCTGTTCAGGTGGGGCAGTACTTAGAGTGGTCAGTGGAGTTTTTGAAGATGATCTCCAGTCCTTACATTCAGTTGGGTAAGATTCACTAATAAAAGTGACATATATGGTTTCTGTTGCCTGAACAAGTTGCCACAACATATTTCTTCACAACAGAAGGATTTCCATATGATAACTCTCTCTCCCTCAACTATGCTCTTCCCTCAGGTGTCTCTGCAATGATGTGGCAGACCTTCATAGTCAAGCGGTTTTCAGCTGCTGCCTTCCTAATGGAAAAGGTTTGTGTGTCTGTGTACTTTGGCTCTTTCTCTTTGTGTGCTGTGACTAAGATTAAATAATTGATGGTGCATATGTTGATCTAGGTGGGAAAGGCACCTAAAGACCGGCTGTGCAGACGGGTAAGAGAAGACACAAAGAATTAATTCAATTTAGATATGTTTCATTTTAATTAACTTGTCTGCGTGTGTGTGTTTAGGATGTCGGAATGGGAGACGCAGCCGTGAAGAGTTTCCTGGGCTCCTGCGTGCAGTTACTGCAGGCTCTGATGGAGGTCTCATCTTCCTCTTTTCTCCCTTCCTATCCTTTTTTCTCCAGAGTAAGGACTGATCAAACAGTGGATGCATGGGTGGAAGCATGTCTTAAGTTATCGTGGATTTTTCAAGAATGGTTAACAAATTATGGGTTGAAATAAAAGCGTGAAATATATTATAAATGTCTTTTCTCTCTCAGGCGGATTCAGGGGTGGAGGAAGTGTCTGTTCCAGATGTGAGCGTGGAGGAAGTGTGGGGCGGTGCTGAGGGTCCAGTGTCTATTGTGGAGTTAGCTTTAGATCACAGATCCATACACTATCCCCTCGTTCAGCATCACTGTGTATTAGCTTCACTGCTGCATGCCGCCATGACCTTCTCCCTGCGCCTGAAACCGCTCAGTCTGTTCGACAGCAAGGTAAAAACAGGACAACAAAAACACAATTACGTCACACTTACAATTACGTGATATCAAAATTTGCATTTTCTTTTATTTGGAATGTTCGATTTTCCATTTCTCTCAGATATACATCACTCCAAGGAAAAAAAGATTGTCGCAATTTACTTTTCACGTTCCACTACAAGTTCTTTTGCCTTTAATTCATGTTGTCTTTTTCTGTCATCTACAGGGCAAGAATGCGTTTTTTAGAGATTTGGCGTCCATTCAGTTGCTGCCCAGTGGAGATATGGACCCCAACCTGGTGGCTGTGAGACAAGAAGTGAGTCAGAACTGCTCTCAACAAGAATGCCCCCTACTGAAATAAGTAATAACATTTTTATTTTATAATCAGTCTAACATGCATCTTGTACAGTGGCAGTGAAATGTTGACCACATAACAAAAAGATTCTCGGAGAACAGGTCGTAAGATGTTTTTAGCTCACCTCTGAAACCAAAGTTGATGCACTGTCTTACTGTATTACTGTGTGTGTAGTTTCTGATGAACGTGTTAACAGGCTGGGTGAAGGTTCTAGCTGAAGCTGAGGAGAACGGTGTAAAACACAGTGGTTCTGAAGACATGTGGCCGTCTGTGTGTATGGAGCTCTCGTCTCTACTGCAAGTCAATACTGACATACTACGCAGACACCTTGTTTGTGAGCTCTATAACCAGGGCCTGGACCTGCGGGCAGAGGAGGTAACGCACACACACATTGTTAAACCTCTTGAGCATACATACAGGAGTAAAATGTCATGCTTTTTTCTTTTGTTTTTCTTTTTGTAATTGTTGTTTCTTTCTAATCTTATCTTTCGCTTTATTGTTTTTCTTTTGGTATATATTTTTTATTTTTTCTCTTTTTTGTCATTTTTCATTCTCTTTTGTTTTCTTTTTGTCATTTTTATTAATTATCTTTTTAAATGTTTGCTTTTTTGTATATATATATATATATATATATATTGTCTTTTCGTAATTTTCTTTTTTCTTTCGTTGTTTTTATAATTTTTCTTTGTCTTTTCCTTATTCTTTATCCTCTGTATATATCTTTTCTTTATCTTTTTTTCTGATTTTTCTTTCTTTTGTCATTTATCTTTTTTCTTTTTCCACTTTTTCTTTTTATTGTAATCTCTCAGGTGATGATGGAGGTGCAGGACAAGGATGTTTTGGGTTCTCAGCTGCTGGTGTTGACTGGTCAGAGACTCTCTTTCTCCCTACTCCACTCCCAGTCACAGACCAAACCCAACATGGAGCTGCTGGCCCGTCTGCCGCCGACCCTCTGCACCTGGCTGAAGGCTATGGTAAGAATACACGGGCTGCACAGTTCGCCAATCTCTTACTGTCTTTCACTCACCTGTATCATGCTTTGTGTGTGTTTTTAGGACCCCAGTGAGCTGCGCTGTCCTTCAGTACCTCTGTCTCAGAGCAGTCAACTGATCAACAAAGTCATCGAGATGCTCCCCGAAAACCACGCCCAGTATAACCTTGCCCTCCACCTGCTGGATGCTGTGGACTCTTTACACGAAGAGCCCTGATATAGAGAAATGCATTGGAGGAGAAATAATGAGAATCATGTTTTTTTTTTTAAATATTCCAGACTCAAAAACCTTCCCAGGAGCCCAAAGACCTGGAAAACCATCCAGTCAGCAGCCTAAATAAATGCATCATCATCATTATCATCAGTAATCTGCTTAATTTAGCAGGCTTTAATCTCTTTTCCCAACTGTCACTAAAATAACATATCAAGAACACTCGCACTTCTAGAGGATCTGCTACCCCACAATGCCTGTGCACATTGAACGTGTCACGAACAAAGGGCCTGGAGTCTCTAGTGTCTAGAGTGTTATTAGGATAAAAACTATGTTATTCATGTACAGTAGTCCTGTAATTAAAGAAGGGCATTCTTTACAAGGAAGCCTTAAAATAATATTGTGCTTTAATCAGTATAATCAAAACATTACAGTATATTAACACCATGAGGGGTATATTTTCTATTTCAAATTCTAGATGTTCTCGTTCATTTATTCTGCCAAATAAATGTGTCTGTAATGTCTAATTGATGCTGTTTATTAGTCAACAAGCACTAAAATGTCATCTGTTAATGTATGTGTTTATTTTAAATGTTCAACTTTAGGTGTGGTTGCAAGGTGAGAGAAAAGAAAGACCTCTTCTGTAGTGCTGACCTTTTATGCAGTCCTGTACCAGCTGTGCCTGGCTACTCATATAATACGTGATACCAAAATTAAAGACGATTTCCGAGAACTGTTGTGCAGCTCATTGTCTTGAAAATGAAACTGGAGCATTAAATTATCAGCAACATGTCCTTAATGTGGGAAGTTGTAGAACACCTAGTAGGAAATATGATTTGAGAAGGAGTTCATGAGTAAAGGCAAAAAATGACAATAACTTCCTTATGGGAAACTAGTATTTTCAAGAGTTTCCTAGTAGAAAATTATTATAATTTATTGCCTTCATGAACTCGCTCTCAAATCAAATACATTTCCAACTAGGACACTCAGTTCTTACTGGACTGGAGTTTCCTACTCAAGATTTCCCAGTAGGAAAATGTAAAAATGTAAATGTAGGACACTCAGATTTCCTAGGACTGTTGAAAAAAAGTTTCCTACAAGGAAAATACGAGTTTTCCAGTAGGAAATTATTATAATGTTGCCTTTAATCATGAAATTGGATGTGAACTACCTCTCAAATCAAATTTCCCAGTTGGATATCTGAGTTTCCAACTGGCAAATATGATTTGATATGGAGTTCATGTCCAATTTCACAAGTAAAAGCAACAATATAATCATTTTCTACATGGTAACTCGTATTTTCCTACTAGGAAACTCTGTTTAACATGTTTCCTAGTAGGAATGATTATAAATTTTTGTCTTTGCTCATGAAATTGGATATGAACTACCTTACAAATCAAATTTCCCAGTTGGAAAAGATTTCCTAGTAGGAAAATTTGAGTTTTTTAGTTGGCAAATACGAGTGTCCTAGTAAGAAATTATTATAACTAGTGCAATGCCCGTGCAAAATCAGGTTTTGTGTGGGTTTTTTTAAAAATAATTTGTTGGTTTGGTATGTTTGAGTTGCTGAATAGCCTAGGCTACTATTACACGGGAGCCTAAACTCTGAGAAAACGATAACGTTGAGCGTTTCAAAAAGAATTGCTAATTTTTTCAAAAAGAATCGCTACTTTTTTCAAAAATAATAATGTAACAAAATAATAATGTAACAAATGTATAATAACACTGTAATAAATGTATAATGTGTAATAAACTTATAATAACACTGTAATGTATAATTACATTGTAATAAATGTATAATTATATTGTAATAAATCTACAATAACACTAATAAATGTATAATTACATTGTAAAATAATTATTATTACACTAATGTATAATTACAATGTAATAAACGTATAATTACATTGCTATTTGTCGTATATTAAAACTAATGTATAATTACATTGTAATAAATGTATAAACACACTGTAATAAATGTATAATTACATTGCAAAAAACCTATAATTACATTGTAATAAATTTATAATAAGACTGTAACAAATGTATAATTACATTTTTTTACACTACTTTTTTCAAAAAGAATTGCTACTTTTCCAAAAAGAATCGCTACTTTTTTTCAAAAAGATAAGGGACACAACCCATTCACGCTCAAGGTATATGTGGCTGCCATCATGGCATGCCCCAATCAGTTGTGAGGAACAACCTTATTGTGAAGTTCCTTCGGTGGGCTAGAAGGCTGAACCCGCCTCGTCCCCACACAGTTCCGACCTGGGGATCTGTCTATGGTCCTCAGGGCTCTCCAAGGCATCCCATTTGTATATGAACGAAATTCCAGAATCGTCAGCAAGCTATCTAGAAAGCACTGTGAATGCTTAAATGGTTGTCAACGAATGGGACACTACATTTTATCCAAAATTAAATATCAATACATTTTGGTTTTAATACGATTTTCCCAAGTAATAGGCAAGAATAAACCTGGGGATTCCGACTTGTAAAAAGTGTTCATGTCCTCGTAGAGACAACTTGTAATCATGAATGTAAGGAAGGTATGTTGAAAGATAAACAACTAATTACTGAAATGTATTAACTCTCATGTAATCACCCAATCAGTGTTTTATCCACGGAAAGAAGCCAATAAAAAAGCTCGAAAATGTCACGTAACAGTACCTTTATCTCAGGAAACCCATTCAATGTCCACTATAGCTCGTTAGTCAGCTAGAAAAAAGAACTACAGATATAAAACATTTACTTAACTTGTTAATAATTTGTATTTGAATAAATGTAAAATTAAGAAAACTACCTTATGAGCAAATTAAACGAGTGCAAGTCAGATTTGAATATTCTTTCATAATTCTTGTCTGTTCATTGAAAGTCCACTCAGCCAAAACTTTCAAGGATCAAAAACATGATTCAAACGGTTAAATTCAAGACAGAGATACAATCACTTTTAACCCCATTTAAACATTGACCAATGCACATAGAGTTCATCAAATATGGGGAACACTTAAGCTCAAACGTGCTGGCTTTAGAAAATGATTAGTTCTCACACAACTTATTAAAATAGATATTTTAGGGCCAAGTAAACATTACAATCCCTGTAAACATAAGATTTTAATGTTCATGACAGTGAACCCATGAAGATTCACATTAAGAGACATTATCTTTTTCTGTATGCATTGTTTATTGGCTTAGCAATAAAACTCATGTCATAAAGCATAATTTACAGGTAAACAGAGAAACTAAAATTGACAAACTCTCCTCGCACTGAGCCTCATTTATGAAAATAGCAGAATGAATGTCTACATTTTGTAAACCCACTCTTTGATAAAACTGCCACATTCAATCGACGTCACAATTAAAGAATGGTTTTACAAATTGCATCTGCATGTTAAGTACATCTTCAATGCAAAATGTCACAATAAAATATACGCTCATGACTTGAATATACAGAAAGTACAGTTAGACGTGTTCAACCAAACCTTCCACCCACCGCAAACAAGCTCAAATTAACGTATTCAAACGCTCTTTTCAGCGTACTGACTATAAGTTGGTTTAAACCTGTCGCAGAGAACTGCACTGTTAAGTTTGCCAACTTAACACAGACCCCAGGTCAGAGCTAATATTGTAAGCATGATCTGAAATGGGTTTTTGTATACGTTTTCTAAGTTGAGAATTTCCTGTTTGGTTTTTCCTTCTAAATTTTTGCTTTATTCATTTATAAGTTTGTCTCCTGTCCGACCCCTGAGTAACATGGTACCCCCTCTCCCACAACAATAGCAGCTTCATACTGGTCCATGGTAGCCCTTGCAGCCTTTTTCAACAAAGGAGGAGGAGGAGGGCCAGTGGGTGGGCAGTAGTCATGGCAACAGTCAGGGTGATTACTTTGTATTTTCCAGCACGGTTTGGCATCGTGGGCAGAGGCAGTCTGGCTCATCTGCAGTGTATCGCCGACATCTCGGACAGCGTGAAAGAGAGGTGGGCATCGCGGCTACGCTGTATGAACTCTCTTCACGGATCATTCCCCCTACAGAACACACAGATGAGCAGATCAATACCCAATTACTTTAGAGTTCCGTAATATTTCTAGGAATTTTTCCAAAGTAAAGGCAAGTTTAGTTTAACTGCTTCTAAATTAAAACCAAATGTTGCCAATTCTGTCTAAACCTGTGGTTCTCAACTTCTGTGACAGCATTGTCCAACACAACATTCAAAGCACCTACCCAAGATAAGGCAAGATATAAATATAATAAAAAATAAATAATAAATAGTTTAAAGTCATTTGAAGTTTATTCAGAACTTGTGTTGGAAAATGTTTAATGGAGAATGAAATGTTTACTTAGAGTGGCAAAGAAGGCGTTTTAAGAAGATGTATACTTTTGTTAATTCTTTAATCAGTTTAACTTAGTTCCTACCTTTGCTTTGGAAGAATATGCTTATGTTGCAATAAAGAAATTATGTAATGACCAGCACACTCAAGAAAGGGTACAAGAGTATTTTAAACCAGCAAGGAAACTAAAATGTGCAGAAAACGTGCAGACGAGAATGCGTCATGTACATTCTGAATGCTATCTATATACATACCAGGTGATCAGATCAGTTTCGACTTAAAAAACGTTTATATTTATATCATATGATTATAACCAATCACCAGATTAGTATAACTAATAACAGTGGAGAAAACTCTTAGCCGGCTGTCAATAAAACTTTGTTCCTGCAAAGGGCAACTTGGAAGTGGTGTCATATGCCGCAGGTTGGAACTAAAAGTGCTAAAGATTTAAGGCACTGAAAGTTTTGGACGAAAACTCTGAGATCAGTTTTCGTAAGGTTTTATTTAGAATTTCCATGACAAACCACTGGTCTAAACTAACTGGTACAAAAAGGGGTAGTAATGAGTATGTGGTGTTAGTTTTTATGATAGAAACACTGGGTAATTTATATCAGAAGAAAAGCATCTCACCTTCCAGGTTGATGAGGAAGTTTCCTGTGCTTGTGACAGAATCCGATGGCAAATCCCGCGGGAGGGAGTTTGTCAGCGTCGTGCGTGAGGCCATCATGAGCTCTGTCAGCTGAGAGCAGGTGGAAGTGGGCTCCTCTTGAAGAGACTGGCAGAAAAGGGTGGGGGAAAAAACAACTTATAAAATGTAGTCGCAAGCAAATGAAGCACAAATTATTATCTATTTAAAGTATCTATTACGGTATCCCTTTTCATACCTGTGTTCAGACTGAGAAAAACATTTGCATGTGGTCAATGTGACAGAATTTCTTTACGCAGGTGTTCTAATTTCTTTTCCATTACACTGTAAAGAAAACTCCCCATCCAATAAGATGTGCTTTTTGTCACATACCCAGAGCCACTGCTGTTACATAAATCTATTACATGATGGTAAATGCAGAAATCTGAATGGCTGTTTGAAAACATGTCAATTTCCTTCTTTGTGAAAATTGGGTGTCAGAATCGTAAAGTTGTGTACGGGGTTACCCTGGTATTTCTGCATCTATACAAGTGCCACATACTGTCAGAAAAATAATTTGCATGTTCATTCAGCCTGTCTGTCATTTGTTATGATTTGGTCTAAACCAGGGGTATCAAACTCAGTTCCTGGAGGTCCAACCAGCTCTAAAACAGCTCCCAAGAAGTTTCTAGTAATCCTGAAGACATTGATTAGCTCGTTCAAGTGGGTTGGAGCTCAACTCCAACTCTGAAGTACAGTGGCCCTTCAGGAACCGAGT